TGAGACTACAGCTAGGATTGGTTACTCCTGCCTGCAGGGTAAGAGACTCAAGTGCGCCTGCTGGTTCATGTTGCTGACACTACAGCTAGGATTGGTCACTCCACCTGCTGGTTCACATTGCTGAGAGTAGACCAAGGGTTAGTCACTCTAGCCTGGATGGTCTGAGGTTGAAGTCTAGCTATTTCTGAAACTAGAGGTGGGGTTTGTTATTGAAGCCTTGATGGTATGAGGTTCAAATTCACTCAAGTCTCATAAAAGGCTAAAGAACTAGGACTGGTCAGTTCTGGTCAGGACTCAAGCCAAGAGGGTTTGAGGCTCATTCCAACCTGCTAGTTCACAATGCTGAGACCAGAGCCAGGATTGGTCACTCACGCCTAGATAGTTTGATGCTTAAACTTACTCAAGTCTTGTAAGAGGCTCAAAAGCTAGGACTTGTCACTCAGATCATGCCTGGATGGTTTGAGGCTCAAGTCCACCTCATTGTTCGTGTTGCTGAGACTAGACCTAGGGTTGGTCACTCAATTCTGGATGGTTAGAGGCTCAAGTCCACCTGCTGGTTCATGTTGCTGAGACTAGAGCTAGGGTTGGTCATTCATGCCGGATTGTTTAAGGCTCAAATTCATTCAAGCCTTGTAAGCTTAGACTGGTCACTCAAGTTTGGATGGTTTGAGGCTGAAGTCCAGCCATTACTGAGATTAGAGCTATGATGGTTATATTCTCAAGTCCATCGGCTGGTTCAAGTTGCTGAGACAAAAGCTAGGTCTGGAAAGTTTGACACTCAAGTCCTCCCGCTGGTTCACATTGGATCCAAGAACAAGATGTTCATCATTTGCCTCAATCCAAGCTTGTAATGAAAGTGTAATGGATGGGGCTCTTTACTGCGATACAGAAATGTAATATAGATGATCACTCTTCTAGTCAGGGACGAACAATCATACACTTGAGCCTGGTACTACCAAGGTTAAGGTTCAAGATATCCCACTAAGGCCAATTTCCCCCAGTGACCCTGACTGGGAGACATGAAAGCTAAATGCTACCGTGTTGTGGAACACATTGTGAATGTTGCCCCAAGAGTACGTGGAATCTGAAGTAAAACTGAAAACGTCAACCTTAGATTAGTGGGAGAGGAGTCGTCTAGTACAACTGGTACCACACATCGTATATAAGCATCTTGGAGTGGATGTGTAAGTTTGTCACAAAGGATGGTAATACGTCCCATGGTTTGCTTTGGGGATGGTCTCTCTCTTGAACAAATGACAGATGCCACAGGATAAGGAGCTGGTGAAGAAATTCCTTACGATAGATTTGAAGATTTAAAACAGTGCCCTCATGAATTCCACAGATAGTGCTGCTTTCTTCAAGATTTGACAAACTGTTTCTTCAAGGGTTCCAGTGCAAAAGACAAGGACACACCGTTTCAACTTTGGCCAGATTTCAACCACGGGTCAGTAAAGAAAAAGTTGATGGAAAGTTCAACCATGACGACCCGGCAGAGTTGACAACACATGCATAGCACACTGTCAATGATGTAAGCTCCAGGTGGGCATCTCAGTAAAAGAAGTGATGACACACCTGTAGATTTTCATTCCTTGGACAATTCATCAGAACTGTAAGTAAATGGCTTGAGACTTTAGCATACAGATGCGGTAGAGGTTCTTTGGCCTGACATTCCAACTGAAGGGGTCACCATTGTCTGTGGCCAGCAAGAAGACACTGAGATGCACAAATCACAGGCATGGTTGGTACATGAACTACGTGTAGCACTACAGTTGCATCAATGAAGATAACGAATGGTGATGCTCTCTCAAGCGTGAAATGACATATTCCCACAAACATGTACATACTGCACCTGCCGCTAGAAGACTGGTGAGGGGAAAGATAAGATCTAGTGCAGGGCTTCCTCTGCCCATTCAAATGTATAAAGCATCCAATCTCATTCGTTTTAGTGACCATGCACCTACCGGTATAAGCAGTTAATTTCTGGCCAGTGCTGCCACCATGCAAAAAAAAAAAAATTAAGAGCAAAAATTTGGAAGGGAAAACAAATAACTCCAGTCTGAGGCATTCATGGAATGGTTCTCTTTCACACTGTCCTGAGTGGCTAAGAAGGTCACAAAATGCAAGATTGGAGGAAATGAAATTAGAGTGAATGTTCAAGGAGAAATAAAAAGCCATTAATTCCAATCACTTTGATCACAGTAATTCGTCTCTTTTTCACAAGTTCACAAAATACTGGGAAGAAATAAAGGAAAGACAAGCTTGCCTGGGGCTTGACTTGAACTGACTTGGATGGAGCTCCTTGATGTCACAGAGGTTAATATCCTGGTAGTCACAAAAGGGAAGGGCGGTCGTTGAAGAGGTGAATTGGATTGGCTCCATCAAGGTAGACCTATGGGACATCTTGTACTCTGTATCGACAAAGCACAGGAAATATGAGGTGATAGTAAGAAGTTAGACAAAGCAACTTTTGGATATTCCACCCGCTTCCTAACTCAAATGAAACTACAAAGCAAGTTCTTTGAACTTAAAAGCCATTTTTGCTTTAATATCTGAGAATCAATCATATCATAAAATACAAGAGTAATGCAGATGAAATCCTAAAACAGTATGGAACTCTTCTAAAATGAAATTCCAGTGGTTCAGTTCTGTAGAAATTTTCTCTCCCATTCCAACCGGAGTTGCAAACTGGACTGGTCATCATTTTATTTGTCATTATTTTTATTTTCATTTGTAACTATTTCTGGTAATAGACACCTCAAAAGTGCCCAAGGCACTGTACATGTAGCTCGCAAACCTGAAGAAACCTGTAGAGAGGAGACAATGAGAAGCAGTTACAGTTTTAGAGGTGGAAGGAATATCCCAGAAGAATATTCAGGGTAAAACTCACGGAATCAGGCAGGGACTGACAACCCAATCCACATGTGGACTGAAAATCGGGAATCGAAGCCGGAACAAAGAGGTGAAAGGCGAAGAAAGAACTTGACAATTGACCATTTGTATTTCTATCAAATGAAAGATTTCTTTTGTTCACCACTGTCCTAAATATCGTAGCACTTTTGGTGGCACTCGGTTGTGTTCAGGCGGTTCGAGAGCCTCCTAAAAGAATGTCTATGTTTAGTACGGGAACCGCAAACGCCTATTGTTCTCTCTCTTTCAGCACCGGACACAAACAGCTTGATTCGGTGAGAGAAAACCGCAGCACTGTTCCACTGTATATGCATAAATTACCGAAGCACATTTCAAAATTGAATGGACTGGCTGATTGACAAATTGCCTGAAAAAAGGCTTGCGCTAAATAGACAGATAGCAATAGATTTACACTCAGCCAGTGTGCAAAAAAAGGTCGTCTTAACCGAAATCTTGTGACATTCGAGCTTGTATTACGCATTTTGTCCCTCATAGGAATGTGCACAATTCAGTCGGGACTGGCAAATATGCACATCTAAACCGGAGTCTCGTCTTACCCAAGCTCGTTGTACTGAGAGTCCACTGTATTAACAGCGCTCTTATTAATGAGGTTCGACTGTATTTCCGTATTTTGTCAAAATCTGTTGCATGAAGTACATGTATATCGTGAAAGTTTTAACTCCAAACCATGCAAGGTTACGTTGCAGCATGGTTATAGACATCGATCGACAGCCTTGCGCGGCCTGCCAAAACACAAGTGCCCGACCGTAGAGTAGTTGATTCCCGACTTGCTATGTACAATATTCCTATTCATACAACCACTGCGATTGGGAACCACTGACTGACATGATAGACTTGAATTCAAGGCTGTGTGATAAGTGACCTCAGCATGCCCTAAAAGCCCACAAAAGGTGCACAGGGCGGCGAAGTGCAGCAAGCACAAATCGACTCATACACCCACACAAGGTGCGTGTTCAGACAGTTCACTGTGCTGTGCAGTACTTGGTATGCATGGAGCTGCTGGATCTCCGGCCCTTTCAACGATCATGCAGACCAAAGCAGCCTTGTTTTTAAGGCTACTACAGGAAAAGAACTGTACACATGCATGCCGCGTGCGACTGTTATTGAACTGGAATTTATAGAGGTGGAACTCCATGCATTCACGTTTGTGGTTTTTTGGGGCCTTTTGTTTTGAGTCAGAAGGGAAAATCGGAATTTTGGAGGTCTGTTTGACAAAAAAGGGAAATCCTGATAAAACTGAAAAAGTGGCATCTCTGACTATTACATCATCCATTCTGCCAATCTGCAAACGGCTACAAAGAGAATGACGTACCACTGTACCGATGTCGACAGATCCTAGTCATGCAGTATTCTGTGCACGGCAGACTCTGCAGCCCCTGGGGTGGTTCCTGCACAGCCTTGTTCTCAGGTCAACTGCATCAGTTTCTGGACAAGGAAACACAATGGATATTCTTCCTGCCACGGTTGCTATGGGAAGGGAAACCAATCAATGCCATCCTTCAGTCAACTTTATTTCCATGTTAAAAAATTAACACAAAGTCTTCACGACACACCTATGATTGTCGTCACACTTAAAAGTCATTAGGTTCAAGTAATATCCCATGATCCCCGTTGGTTTGAGTAAAATCTTCAATTTCTATTTCCTGACAACATTTGCCTAGTGGTTATTCAATAATGCAAAGTAAGCATGTTAAGGCCAAAAGAGAAAAGTCTCCAGGTTTCTGGTCAGGGGCTGGCTCCAAAAGTGGTGAGGCAACACCTTTTTTTGGCCCTCACTTTTTTTTCGTAGAAGTGATGTACGTGTAATGCACGAATTGCGACTGCATGCGTAGGTACTGCCACTACCAACACTGAAATAGACTGGCCCCCTCACTAATTACTGCTTAAAAGCATTTCCAGCTTGTAGATGTACACAGGACATAAGATCATCTCGTTTGTGTGGTTCCCAGATATAAATGTATAACACAGAAATGACGTAATCTGAAAAAAAATGCCGGGCTAAATGTATGAGGGCCTAGAGGGCTCCTTTACTGTACATATTACTGAACCGTACCCCATCTAAAACACATTAAAAATACACAGTAGCAGGATTCCAGTCAATCAAGCAAGTTTGGCAGCTTTTGGACTTCGTATTAGACCAAATTAAAAACTTTTCATTATGACGATGTGCAGGTCTACGATGACATGCACGCTGACCAGAAACCAAAGATTGGGGGGGGGCCTAAGAGGAGTTCCCTGAAAACAAACGCCTAGGGAGAGCCAGTCACAATAGCGGGTTTGCCGTACCCCAATGGTTGCGTATTTCACCCCGCAACATTTATGGACATACACTGGCATGCAGGTTGTAGTTTGAACATAACAGTAGAGCACTTCACATGTGCATGTATAGTGCATGTCTTTCCAAAGTTGTTGGTCCCCTCTGCAGTCAAAAATGGACAGAATTTACCAGTCATTTTCGGCTAAGAGTAGGTTTGCAGGTACACCATGTGTAGAATCAATCTCCTCTATAAGAAAGGTGGTTCTGGCAGAGAGTAGGTTTGTGAGTACACCATGTGTAGAATCAATCTCTTTTATAAGAACAGTAATTCTGGCTGAGAGAAGGTTTGTGGGTACACCATGTGTAGAATCAATCTCTTCTATAAGAACGGTGGTCCTGACAGAGAGAAGGTTTGTGCGCAATCTGCTGTATTTTTGGCAGCAAGTTTAAAAGGAATGCAACTGAAAGTGCTCTGACGTTGTAACCAGGAAAGCGGGCAACTGCAATATAGGGAATTAGTTGGCCTACTGGAAGCACACTTTGGTCCGGGCCAAATGGCCAAAAATTATTTGATGGAATTGCAAACACGAAGACAGGGACCAAAGGAATCCCCAAGAGAACTGGTTCAAGCAATCCCTGAACTCGTGGCCCTGGCATACCCTGAATTGGCTGAGTGTGGCCGTGATCGTTAGGCATGAGCCAACTTTGCCAACGCAATTGATCGGCAGTCAGTTAGAGAGGGAATTTAGGGCAAGACCCCAAAGCCTTGATGAAGCCATTAGGGCTGCTTAACAAACGGAAACTTTTGAGCAGATGGAGGCCGAGAAGGATCCATCCCCCAGAAAGGCTAAATATTGCAGAGCCAGTGGGAGTAATGGTGGTTGACTGGTCAGCCTAGTCAAACCATTACGAGTTTCGCCCCGCGACAAATTCAAACGCCAAGCTGTGAGTAATGCGTCCATCCAGATGGATGTGCAGCATGAAACACAAACAAGTGACGTGTCACATTCCGAACTGACTTGTTATAATTGCGGGGGTTGGGGACACTTCGCAAGACAGTGCCCTTCCCCAAGAATGCAAGGTATACAAACTTCTTCAGGAAACAGAAGGCAGTCTCCTGTGGGACCCACTGACAGACTGCAACTGCAAATGGCGGGTCCGAAGAGTGCTTCCCAGAACAGCAGCCCAAACTAACAGTAAAACAAGTAGAGAGGAGAAAAGTTAAAGGACCCAAAGAAGGGTTATACGTACAAGGTGTGGTTCAGTGCGTCGATGTACAATTTCTTGTTGACACTAGCCCTACAGACACCATTATGTCAAGGTCCATTTATCATAAAATCTCTTTGGGTAGGCGACCGAAATTGAACACAGAGAATATTCAAGTCTGCCAAGCTGAAGGCAGCCCAATGGGAAATATTATGAGTATGGCTGACTTGGAAATACAGGTTGGTCACACGGTTGGTCCTGTTAGAGCAGCTGTTGCTGATTTACCAGTACCAGGAATTCTGGGAATGGATTATTTACTCCAGACTGGTTGTGTTTTGGACTTTGACATATTGTTTCTGCACTTGCGTGATGAGACAGTTCATTGTACAAATTGCATTGGGTCCTCTTCCTGCTACCGTGTAGTGGTAGGTGCCATGACAACCATACCGGCAGGCCACAAGGCTGTAGTGCCCAGGTATGTGAAAACTAAACCAAGACCACATTTCACGGCTTGGAATAGTAGAACCAGTCCCAAATGGTGGAGAACTGATGCAATGGGGCCTAATTTTAGCAAGGACACTTGTCAAAACCGATGAAGACAAGTTGGACTCGGGGTACTAACCCCAAGTAGGAGTAAACGTGTATTGCGTTCTGGGACCACAGCGGGCATCCTCACAGCGGTAAAAAAAAAGTGACATAGAACCCGAGTCTGCTGAAAGATCTGCAGTGGGAGTGGAGGTCCCATCTCATCTCAAAGAGCTTTCCGATAAAAGTATTGAGAATTTGGAACCCAACTTCGAAAGTGAGGTCAAGCAACTGTTGGTTGAGTTTGAGGATGTCTTCTCTGAGGGTGAAGCCGACCTAGGTTGGACAGACCTCGTTAAGCACACTATAGATACTGTCAACGCCCGACCGATTAAACATCGGTTGCGGAGGCAACCCGAAGGCAATCAAGAAGAGATCTGTCGACAGGTGAAAAACCTCTTGGATAGAGGAGTAACAGAACCCTCAGAAAGACCCTGGGCAGAAAATGGGATTCTTGTTATTAAGATGGCACAAAAAGATTTTGAATGGATTACTGAGGGTTAAACTCGGTTACAATAAAGATGCATATCCTGTCCAAGGATAGACGACTCCCTAAATGCCCTGTCTGGAGCAAAATGGTTCTCGACGTTGGACCTACCGGTATCTTCTGGATATTGGCAAGTTGAACTCGACAACGAGGCAAAACAAAAGACTGCATTTGTGGTGAGGGGAGGCTTATACCACTGGCGAGTACTGCCCTTCGGACTTAGCAATACCACATTTGAAAATTAATGGAGTGAGTAGTCACTGGGTTGCAATGGCAGACACTGCTGGTATACCTTGATGATGTGATTATATATGGGAAAACAGTTACAGAAGAGACTGACCGCCTTAGGGAGGTACTTAGCCGCTTCAGAAAGGCAAATCGGAAGCTGAAGCCGGCAAAATGTTTCCCGTTTCAGAAAACAGTGAAATACCTAGGACATGAAGTATCGGAGAGAGTGGTATCACCACTGACCCTGACAAGATTAGGGCAATTCGAGACTGGCAAACCCTACCAACGTTGACGAGGTTGGAGGTTTTGTGGGCCTCGCCTCCTATTATCGGCAATTCATCTGCAATTTCGCAGATGTAGTGAACTCCTTTCACAGACTGACCGAAAAGTCTCGAGATTTCCTGTGGGACTTGGAACATGACAGATCATTTGAAACCCTCAAGAGGTTTTTGTAGGAGGTACCAATATTAGCCTACCCTACGTGTAAGTCAGAAGACCAGTATATACTGGACCCTGATGCCAGATGTGTTGTGCAGGGCATGGGAGTCTGATGATGGCAAAGATCTGAAATGGAAAATTATCCTCCCCGAGTCCCTGTGGAGAACGGCAGTAGAAGAATTACATGCTGGAAAAACAAGTGGACACCTGGGGTTTAAGCAAACACTTTCCAGAGTAAAGAATCACTAATAATGACATGGCATGCATGCCGACGTCCGTTCCAACCTCAGGGCGTGTGAGCAATGTGCGAAAAGAAAGTCGCCACCCAGGCGGAACAGAGCCCCTTTATATCAAGTTCCAGTGGGATATCCAATGGAATGGGGGCACTGGATATAATCAGCCAGCTACCACTAACAGACAATGGGCACCGTTGGATACTTGTGGTGGGTGATTACTTTACCAAGCGGGTGAAAGCTTACCCACTTTGTGCTACGAAAGTTGAAGCAGTCACAGAGGTCTTTGTTACCCAGTTTGTATTGCGTTACAGGGTTCCGGCAGAACTCCACCCTGATCAGGGCTGAAACTTTGAGGCAGATGTGTTTGGTGAAGTACGCCATATCCTCAGCATAAACAAAACCCAAACGATGCCTTAAAATCCCAAATCCGATGGCCTAATAGAGAGGTTCAATCAAACCCTCATCAACATAGTCGCCACCATGGTAGAGCCAAATAGGTAGCAAAAGGATTGGGATTTGCAGCTTCCTTGTGCGATGTTTGCCTACAGGTCTACCCAACAGGAGAGCAGTGGGGGGACACCCAAAATGATGACGTTGGGCCAGGAGACAGCCCTGCCAATTGACCTCATGACTGTTCCTTCGAACAGCCTGTAGGTAGTGGACTACACTATGCAGAAGAATTGCGATGGTGACTCTTTAGTGCACACGACAGGGCATGCGACCACTTAAGGACCAGTGGCAGGAGATAAAAGAAAGGCTATGACAGAAATGTGTCTGGCAAGCCACTGAAGAGAGGTGATTTTGTTTGGGTATATGACCCAACTATGCGCAAAGGAGTCTGTCCAAAGTTAGAAAGTCATTGGCAGGGTCCATACCTAATCATACACAAACTCGCTGATGTCGTATTGCGACTTCAGAAGAATAAAAGAGCGCAGACAAAAGTCATGCACTTCGACCGACTGAAATGATACGAGGATGAACCAATCAAGTCATGGATTGAGCCAAGAAGTGAAAATCCAAACTCAATCCAAGAGAGTGATAGTGAGCAGATAGAAATCCCTCCTACTGGTGATATGGATGCAGGTGTGGGTTTGAGCACTGGTGAGTTTGGAGACAAAGGTGTAGCCAAAGGTGGGTCAGATGCAGTCACCTCTGAGGAGGTAATGAGTGCGGACGAGGTAACTCGAGAGAGTGACTTGGAAGATAACATGGTGTTGGCGGATGAGCGGGTGGAGACCCATCTAAAATCTCTTAAAGATGTGATGGGTGATCCAACACCTGCAGATTTCCAAGATTCTGTGAAACCCTCCAACATGATGAGGGGGAGGTCACCAGAGAAACAACGGCACTTGCCGTCAAGAACTTGTAGATTGCCAGCGAGGTATAGGGATTAGAGGGTAGTGTAGGGTTACCACAATCCCTCTGATCTTGTGTCTTGTTTCAGACCTTGCCCGACTATGACTACCCCAGAAGACCTGGATACCACCAGGCTACTTCATTGCAAGAAGTGCCCGAAGGTATTTCTACAAAAGAGGAGCCCCTACAGGCACTTTCAGGATTGTCATGGGCCCCCAAGATACCTTGCCTGTCATCAATGCACTTCCCTGTCCAAACGCCGGGATAATCTGCGAAAGCACTACAGGAGGGCTCATGAGCAGTTCCTGGGTGACCTCCAGACGGACAACCATCGGCAGCTCACTGGTCAGCATGGTCAGGTGCAGAGTGCTGAAGTCCCTTAGAGCCCAAGGGCACTGTCTGCAGCCTCTGTGGGCTATCGACAGAGGGGGCAAGTTCAACTTTTGGTGCCACCACCTCCTTGGCCCATACCACATAAAGTCTGGAATGGAGTTGAGATCACCGTAGCTGAAGAGACAGTCATCTCTCCATTAGCGTCGATGTCACTCCTGCCAGCAGAAGCCGCTAACGAAGGCTAAACCACCAACAACGAAATCCCCGTCAAACCAACTACCAAGACGGCTCTAGTGCCAGCACCAGTCACTGGCAAGCCACTAGCCTGGCTGAGGAGCCAAATGCTGCTGTCACCACAGAGTGGCTCCAGTGAAGAATCTGGCGAGAAAGAGATGCTTGAGAAGAATTCCTTCATCACTATCGCCTTCGAAAACGACCTCAACAGAGTGACAGATGTTGTCACAAAGACGAAGTCCCAGGCTGGAGAGAAGATTTCAGAATGGACAAGGACCAGGACCCACAAGGCGGGAAGCAAGATTTCGGCCCAGTGCTGTTTGCTTTTGAACAGTTGAACTGTTTATATCGATTTAAATGTTCTTGGTGTTGCGGATTCACATGGACTCTAGTGCCAACTGAAAAGAGAAAAGAGTCAACAGTTTCTTCCTACTTGCTATATCTATGTAACGTTTAGTTGTTGTGGATGGGAAAATTCTTTCTATTAATATAAGTCAGTTGTTCAATTTAACTTTATCAAATGTAAATTTTGTTATTCTAGCAGTGCTTCCGCAATTTAATTCTCACCAATCATTTCTCGCCACAAAAATTTGCTTTGTATTCATTTTCAGCCTGTATGAACAGGGACCGTTCAGGCCTCGAGTGGGGCTATGTAGCGCAAATTGGTTAACACTCACTTCATGCATGCACAAAGACTCTCCCATGTAAACAGTTTCATGTATCGTTCAGCGTAGGTCACGCATGGCTCTCTCCATAAAGTGTTCGTTTGTTTGTTTTGTTTGTTGGGGTGTTTGTTTGTTTGTTTGTTTGTTTGTTGGGTTGTTTGTTTGTTTGTTTGTTTGTTGGGGTATTGGGGGTGTTTGTTTGTTTGTTTGTTTGTTTGTTTGTTGGGGTGTTGGGTTGTTTGTTTGTTTGTTGGGGTGTTGGGTTGTTTGTTTGTTTGTTTGTTTATCATGGTAAACCTAGTTTTGTGCACTTTAACTGCTCCCTTAAATGATGCATTAACTCTAATATTTGGTGATTGCGAGCAGGGTACCAGTGCATGCGCCCTTGTGCATTGGGCTGTTTTTTGTGTGTGGAGCACAATCGGGCGTATTAGCGATCCTATGATGTTTCAAGCACCCAGCGGGCTACTTCTGATGCCCAAATTAGAGCTTGTCATTCAAAGTTGCAAGGTGACATTTTAGACTTGTTCACTTGCTGTTTTGTTTATTTGATACAGGTTACAGTGCACCGAACACGACAACTGAGCTTTTCAAACTGTAAGTAAGAATTAGTGCTATTTCCACCAAGACACTTTTTGGAGCTATTAAATTGAGGCAAGTCTGGCTTGGATTTAGCTCAGGCAAGGTAATTTGTGGTTCTGTAGTTTTTATTGGTTTTAAGGAGGAAAATAAACTGACAAATTGTGGATTAGTTTTTTCTGGGTCATTAACGGAGGTCCTATTGCCTCCCAAGGTAACTGAGGCCACAGTATAGGAGGTCAATGTACCTCCTTATGTTTCATTGAATAAACAGATGAGATAAGTTATTCCTCGTCTTGTGTGCCAGTTACTTGTCTGTCCGATAGGGTTGCCTGCAAGTGTGGATATACTTTCCACAAACAGACACATCCCCCGGGTTGTTGAGAACCCACCGCCCATAGGAATTCCCACCGTGCGTGGAGCTGCTCCAGCGCGCTACATTATTACTCAATAATTTATTTTGTGGGAAAAGAAAAATGCCACAATATGTATGGACAACATGTCACCTTTCAATTACCATCTATTACCAAAGTATTAAGTCGACGTCACAAGCAGGCCCTAATTACCTCATGCTACATGTACGTGTATATGTATGTACAAATTCCATGCAGACATGTAAACCTGTCCTGGCACTGTGTATTCATTTGGGCAGATGACAGGTTAAAACATCAAGCATACCTTAATGTGTACTTCAACTAATGTAAGGAGATGTCCGCTATCCACCATGTATCGTGTAGTGGTCTGCATTTGCACTTGGCTGTGGCGCAATATCCAACTGTAGCAAATATTGCTCCATGATAGGGCCTCAGAATGCAATCAAGTACATGTCTGATCCTCAAGATTTACTTTGTTATGTGTATGTCTGGTGAGATCGTGACCTCGCACCACGAGTATACATTGGTTTAGCTGAACTTCATTTACTGTGTCCGTGAAGAGTGATTTATTCACGTCATTTACAGTTTTACAACAAATGCCTACATTATATGTAACGGTTTTGCCCTTACCCAACGTATATTAAAAGCACTGTATGCTCAGTGCTTGTTCGAGAGCTTGCGAAAAAACCTCACAAGCTTACTAGGGTGGGACTCGAATCCACCACCTCCTGCTTACTGGTGCAGATGTCTTAACCACTCGACCACCAAGCTTGCCGGGGTCGGCTGGCCGACATGTTAGCCCACGAAAACTTAAAGGTACACATGAAGCCTACATGTACATGTATGCCATGTGAAACATTATTTGAAAAAAAAAGAACATAGCATGAGATTGAGTCCAATCATGGTGGTGAAGACTGGCTGTACATTCACGATTTTTTGAGAAGCACAACCAGTGATACGGTTTAGATAACAAAAAAAATCAAATTGTTCACAACAGGTCAACCAACCCAAAGTCATAAGCTTGCGAATGATATTTATTTAGGCCATAAACTAGGCTTACGACTACAGCTGCTCGTGGAGCGCTAGCCCTTACATGCCTGAAACTTTTTCTGTTTTGTTTTGGAAGTGGTCTTGAAAGTTGCAGAGGACGCCAAAAAATTAAACATTTGGAATTGGATTGACTAGGCTAAAGTAAGTTAGGTAAACGGTGCGAAACGATCTTATTTGTACCAAGCACATTCACATGTCACAACAATCATCAACCGAAAATCAAAGTCAAGAAACAACCTAAGCATGATGTTAGGTTTAACACATCTACAGGGTGTACATGTGCATGCACATTTACGTACATACAGTCATGTATGTAATGTTGGTGCATAATTTAAACACATGAAAATAATGAAATTTAAATCCCAAATACCAAAAGCAATCCCGCTGTAACTCGCCTTATTTTTTCTCCAAGAGACTGAACAACTAGCCTTTCCCAATACAGACTGGCTTTCTTTTTTCAGAAAAAAACTCAAGTTTTCTTTTTAAAATACTTCTTACTCGCACATCCTGACACTTTTTTTCTGCAAAACCTCGTGGAAAAGGATGTACACACAAACTTGCTTTGCACCGCACGCTGGCGAAGTACACAAAGCACTAAATATCGCCACTGAGGGCGCGCCATTTTTTTCTGTGGAAACTGACGTGAATCCTGAGGGTAGAATTAATATCAACGTCTTCCTCAATGCTTGAAAGGACAACTTACAGTCACTCCAGGACAGACAGCACATGTTCCTTCCACTCTCACTACCGTCTCTGCTTCTATCCACTTGCCAACAAGTGCCCTAACAATAAAAACAGGAAAATTGGGAGGGAGAAATAAAGCTACCAATTCTGTCAATTAACATGAATGATTCCAAACCAATTGTCACATAATTAAAACAAGCACAATATTGTTTAGCCAGAAACATGCAGACAGGACAGACTGCATCATTTGTCAAAGTGGCTTGCCTGCCCAGTGTGTAGCCTGGGAGTCTGTGGTTGCCAGTCACCAGAAGATCCAACGGTGGCATTGTTCTATGGGACTAGCTCCCATTGTCTCTACATGGCCAGTGCATCTGGCAGGGTTAGGGTTAAGGTCAGTATTTGCAAAGTGACAGTTTTTAACTTTTTTCTCCTCATCCTCCAATTCTGAAGGAAGTAATATGCAGGCCCTCTTGATTCCACAATCTGACCATCTTGATTGATCCTTAATCAATGCTCCAAGAGGAGGTACTATCATGGCAACAAGGGGATTGGTGTGTGGAGTAAAAATAATCATAAAATGGTTAAAATAATAAAAAAATTTGTTACAAAAACAATGTGCAATCAGATAACTCAGTGTACCAGATTTTATTCTAATTTAACCTCGCATGGCCTTTTAACACGGAACCAAACATTTTTTGACTGGCTGCACCAAGTGGCAACTTCAACTTTAGTTTAAAAATGGAAAGGTATTCAATTTATACCTGATCTTCCTGACCCAAGAGGGGAGGGGAAAGGTTTCCCTTCCCCCACCACACAGTAACAAAATACCCCCTTGCCACATCAAGCAGCCCCCTTCCCCCTTTCAAAGACTTTCTTCCCCTCTTTTTTCCCCTTTCATGGGTGGAGCGTGAAGCCACCATAGCTGCCTAGTTACGATTAAATCAGAAGGGTTAGCAGGTGTCAAGTATGTATGCATGAGCATTATGTCATGTCTTGACTTACATGTACGTACCTCCATCCAGTCATCTCTTACCTGAATGAGATGCATGTTCATTACACAGCTGCACGTTATGTGCGCAGGCAGAGTCCAGCATCAATGTCTGCCTGTGTGCAGGAGAAGTATAGGACGTGTTCAATTAGCAAATGTAACTTGCAAAAATGGCACGCTACGAAGGAGGAGAAACTCAATCTAAATGAAGAATCTTCAAGGGAAAAGTTGCAGGGAACTGAATTAGTAAGGACTTAGAAACCATTCTAGATGTACATGTATCAAAACCAAAACTATCAATCAATACCACCCCCCCCCAAAAGACGTAACCCGAAAAATTGAAACAGGTTAGAAAACCAAGCACTACAAACTATAACTACAAGTTAAATCATAAAAAGAGCCGGGGGGGGGCTGTGGAATCTCCCTACAACATATTTTCCAATATCTCTGCAGTGGTTTTTCTCATGAGCTGAACCTTTAGGCATTTCTCAATAACTCTTTGTGGTCATTTTGACATCAATTTTGTGAATATCAAACATTCCATTCTTGTGCAGTGCCCATTTATCCAAGACAGCTAGATCAGTCTAAATTTAAACTTCTCCACTACCACACTCAATGAAAGCGGCCAGCACATACATGTATGTGGTCTTGAACTCCAAATGACCATAACAACAAAACCATACCTGTACGTTGAACTGACTCTGAGCGCATGTAGTTTCAAAAATGTGGTGTGCTTTAATTAACATTCTCTGACATCTCCACAACTGCTGGCGCCTGGAGTTGTAATGTGTTCATCACCAGTAAAGATCTTGAGCAAATCACTGTAGAACGGTGTCAAGATGACAACATTATAAAAAATTCACCAACAGGCACTATGGTCAGAGAATTTCAGTTTGGGCAAATGAATTAACATGATAAACTGCTGGGTGAATTAATCAAAAAGGCAATTGCAAAATGTGTGTATGTTGCTCATACCGTTCATGGCTGGGGAGCTTTTTCCCAATGTTTAAGCCTTCCTCCACTTGTTTCCAGTTTAAGAGTAGGGCCAAGGATACGGAGGTACCCATAGTTCGCTAGACTGGCCCTAGTATAGTTGAGTCCTCCAACATGCCGCTCTTTGACCTTTCCTTGACTTTCCTCACGCATCCTTGCCAAATCTCTTTGCTGAAACACTTTAAATTCATTCAGTTAAATAATTATATTATAACCTTCATAACACATGCTCCTGATCACCTGTCAACAATTTTGGTGTCATGAAATTTAACAGCCTAATATTAAACAAAGACAGGATCCTGACAATTGGCACAACTTTAGCTGAGTGTTCCCTAATGCGGTGCACTAGAACGAATCTCTTAAAATCCCATATACCGGGTACATGTAAGAACTTCCTGAAAATTGATAAATTATAGTAACCCTAATACATACAAAAATATTTTTGTGGTTACAATTTAGAAGTGTTCATTTTGCACTTAAAAAAGGGGAAAATCAGGTCAACAGGCCTACATATTGATGTAATTGCAAAGGTTTTGGAATCAGTGGCAGGTGTGTGAACTCATGTATGATGTACATGTGGGCATGATGTATATTCTCGCGGTCGCAGGTTGTTCCATAAGCCTCTTTCACATCTCATGTGCACAAACTCAGAAGACTTAACAGAGGGGAACAAATTCATGAAAATGTTGCATAATGTAATTTAATGGCTCCTCATGATTGTTATGGTAGACAATTTGCTCCCCTCCAGCTTTGTTTACTTACTTGCGCAGGGGTGCTAAGACCAACATGGCGACGGAACAGGAAATTGGCTTATTTACTGCAATCACGTCTGGGCAAAGAGGTAACTTTCCATTCACTTTGTACAGGGATCTGCATTTTTTCCTCCTTTTTTGGTTTATTATGATAATAATAACTGAAACCTTTTCGTAATACTGTGGGAGAATCACAAAAACAGTGAAATTTCAAGCATACTTGATAGAAAGGTTGCGAGGTTGCGAGTTTCGTCAAAAATTCAGAATTTCCCCAAAGACCATGACACTACTTTTGCCCCTTTGAGTTTCGAGTGTGAAACATGGAACAGCCACCAACTGACCAATCAGAGAGAGGAATCAAGATGCAGTGACATCATCCCGACCACGAGAATGTCCATGTAGGCCTATGGACCAATGAGAGGGGATGTCAGACAACTTGACCGTTTGTCAAATTGTCTGTTAGTACAACTCGACTTTGACAGCGAGACAACTCGACCAGTGAGATCTCTACACCTAATGCAGTCGTTTTCCCAGTTAAATTATTCAGTCAGTCCGCAGCAACAAAAATCCTCAAATTCCAGTTAAATGTGGTCAGTAGTCCATCTTGTGTGTTAGAGACACTACCAAATTAATTTCAAATTTTAAATTTTTAAATTTATACAGGATCGACAAAAGTGGCGACGACACTTTTCCTCGTTCTGGATCAGTTTCCAGAAAGTAACCCGGCGAGTGGCAAATCCATTTTCAGACATTGTAAAGAGTTGATTTTCTAATGAAAAAGTTTTTAATTTAGAGAAAATTAGTTTATAAATGAAAATTCCGATGAATTTTAAAAAGTGGATCTTTCGTAAGTTTTGACTCATTTTTTCAGTGGCACCAGTTACCAATACCTTCTTGCACTGCACACTCCTCAGTTGACGAACCAAGTTACATTACGTACATTTCTGCAACGTCCGTATAGTATGTTAAGTTCGCAATGTATATTGTGTGCATGCACTTATGCGTGATTCAAAACTAGGAAAAAATAGGCCGGACGTGTTCTGTTTTCGGCCAGTTTTAATAAAACAAAAACTTTGAAAGTCATTTTGGTTAAACAGACATTAGATGCAAAAAGTTTATTTGACTGCTGAGTATGAAAAAGTATTTGGGATCACTCGTAGTGAGTGACATGTCGCCCTGTAACTATTTGTTGATTTTTTTCCTTGCTACCATGATTTTTGACAAAGCATTCAAAAATATCAAAGTGTGAATCAGATATCTGGCCAAAATTTTCTTTCCTAGAAATTTTCCAAGAACAAGTTTTGTTCAACAAGAAACTTACATTTACATTCACCTTTTAAACAGAGCTTGTCAGAGACTGTAGAACTGAAGAACAACACTGGCGGTTGCAGATCTTATTAAATTCACAATGTGTGTCTCGTGCAGAATGTTCAATCATTAGCTCTGTGATGTTCACTTTGTTTTTTCACTTTATTCCATTGTTGCTGCTCAACTGATTTATTACTGGCTCTTAGATTCACAGAATTACAAAGTTCAAAGGTTCGAGGGTCATAGGACACAAATCGCCCACAGATCACATTATAAATCACTCGTGGATTACTGGCAGATCAATGGCAGATCACTAACATGCATGTCACAGATCCCGTAAAAACTGCAACCAAGAGAAGCACAAATAATCCTAAATGCAAAAAAAAAACCTACTCAAATTACTAATCTAAGTGGAGAACTAGCTTTTTGACAATAAGACACCTTCAAAGATCTACATCTAAAATATGAAACAGAAGTAACTCAAACGACACATTAGAATATGAGGTCAAAGGTTATCTCACACTGGCCCCACACTGGGGGTCAGTCTACTGGATGCGGAGGGTTACACTACACCAAGTACGTGCCCATAGAAAACAGTGCAAAATCGGACCAAAATAGCACCGCCAGTTGACTCTCATGAAGAGGTGGGCCTCCGTTTTTTCACTGGAAATTCAAGATTATGGCCAGAAGATCACTTTCGTTTCAATTTCATGGGGGTTAGCCATGAACATTTTTTTAATTTGCCTTTGAACGAAGATACCCCCCAAACAGCAATAAAACTATGCACTCACTTCTGAATTAACCGCCCGCAAGAATAAGTCTGCAATTTCAGGCTTAGAGTTATTTCTATGATCCCTCCTGATTATGGCCTGTCTTTTGTAAAAACCCCGTGGGATCACAAAATATTAATGAGCTTGCGCGCAGAAATACAACCATTTGGTGGAATGCACCCGGAGGGAGTCCAGTAGACTGGCCCCCAGTGTGGGACTATCTCAACAGTGAACCATGCACACTTGTGCATACAGCAATGATTATCACGTGCAGATTATGTCATGAAAATTTGGTCTAAATAATCGCCTTAAATCACACCTTTATGTAAAGACAATTATCATGTTAGATTCTACAATAATTAAACTCTATTTACCTGTATCCCCGGGTCCTTGGGTTGAATAGTTATCGAATTATACTGGCAAAAGTACATGTCAAGCCTTCAGGCTTTTGCACAAGTAAGAAATGCGATAACAACGTGGTGGAAGTGAAGAGCGCCCTCCTGCGACAGGGCTCAGACATTCTCATCGGGGAAAAACCTGCAAGAAACTAAGATTGTATTATTTATATAGCGCGGCGCTTAAATTTGGTTACAAACACAAAGACGACGGAGGTAACTGTTTTGAGCTGTACATGTTATATGCAATCACACGTATGAAGCCAAACCACGGCGATCTGCTACGAAAAATCCGGACGAGAAAAACGACTGTAATCACATATACGTGGCTAGGTCCGTGCGGGTGCAAGATCGATTGATTGCAATTTGCACAAAGATTTGTTAGTATGACTAGGCCCTACTAGTACTGTACTAGGCCTAGGCTACCTCAGATATGAGAAGTGATGAGCTTGTCAACTACGTGAAATTCCCTTCCATTATAATCAAGGGCACCGCATAGTATTCCACACCCAGCAGACGACTGGGCTGAGTGGACAATGTCTCAACATTCGACTTGTCTCTCCTTTTTACGCACGGACGGTCGAGCTGTCTCAACGGTCGAGTTGTCCAAAGTCGAGTTGGCAAACAGGCCAGTTATCCGAACCCCCCCTCCCCCGATGATGCAAAGATAAACACAAACGACTGTGCAGATTCAATGCCATCTTGTCCACCAGGGGCAAAACGATTCAAGCCCAACGTAGAGAATGATGGGCAGGAGAAGAGTGATCCTGGAGCAGTACAACTACACGAGGTTTTCAAGTGTAAGGACATTATACAGCAGTCCTTTCAGCCTTAGTGTCAATGAATGTGAACAGTTTAGCTTGAAGTTTGCCTGGCTTACTCAGTTTGAGTGCGAGCATTATAACTTCAGCAGCCTATGACATGTACATGTATGATGTACAGCGGTAGGCCTACTGTTGTTTAACCTATCGATCCTACTCATGCTGGTCGTAGTACTCCTCTTTTGCGGGTTCACAAATGTGTAACCCGATACACACTAAGGGCCAAGATGGTCCTGGTTTATGAAGAGACATGATTATGTTAGTGCTAAATGATGGCGTGTATAATGTGAGGGATCAAATCCAAACTAGGCCTGTATCACTCAGAGAAAAAGTTGCATTCCATGGCATGCCATTAGCATAGTCATAATGTGCAAGAACTAGTCTACTCTACACTTTGACAATGTTTGATGATGGATGCAAATGACATGAATGAAGCAATTCACTTTGGGTCTCAAGATGATGCCTTGTTTCATCAGGCTCTTGACGCCCTCGAGATGATGGATGAAGCAGGCCCAATGAATGTCAAAGATGCTAGCGATTCCCAAGAATCAATATCTGAGAGTCAAAACAGAGCTTTGCACCACGCCTATGAAGCAAATGAGCAAAGTGCTACTCGCATGTCCAATGTTAAATTCAGTGACCATAATATCGGCTCTGAAAATTTGACTTGTGGACCTTCATGTAATGCCTGCTCTGCTGGAACTGGTTCCACCTCCGCTAGTTGTACCACCAAAACTGAAGATTCTGAAAGTTCTTTGAATGCCTTCAGTGGAGTTGAGACGGACCGCAAGCAGAAGCTGCGATTGGGGAACACCTACTTGACCGTGTCCAACCTGGTAGCGCAGCTGTGGTGTGAGCAGCAGATGGTGTATAACTTTTGGAAGCCCGACTTGGAGCTGATTGTGGAGTCCACGTCCACCATGCCTGCCGAACACAAAGCTGCTGTGAAGGCAGTGGTGGCTGCAGCCAGCAGTGGGAGCAGAGTTCATGAAAAGCGAGGTGGGTTTGTGATGTGGAAATTGTCGCAGGGCATCTGTTACTTCGTCGACCCCAACAGGGTTCAGCCAAAGGTATATCGGGGTGGGGGGTAGGAGCCCTGGCCCCCCTCCACGGAAGTCCCCCTTGGGGGGGGGGAGTAATGAGGGGCAGGCAATTTTTGGTTGGTTTTCGTCTATTTTATTTTCTTTCCTTCAAAAAGTGCATGAAAACTAAAGCCCCCAAATAAATGTAGCCTCGCCTTAACCCTGAGAAAGGCTCAAAAAGTTGCATGAAAAAAAATAAAATATTTGCCTCCTTCCCTCAAAAAAAATTAGTGCTGGATCCGCCCTTGGTTTCAACAGTAGAGAATCTTGATCAGATCCTGTTGATCTTGGCAGGTGGGAAAAATTGGCCTAGATACGCTCTGCCACCAGAGGTAGCTCTGTAAGCTTGAGGTCAAGTGAACTTCAAACTACAGTAAATGCTGTTGTTCAATGCACTATGAATGAAGAGTCCATGGAGGAGTCTGGTGGCATACATCATTAACCCTAACCCTCCTCAATCCTTCACCTGTTGGAGGACTGAGGAGTGTTAGGGTTAACAACTGAAAAAATACACGTACAGTATTGTAGCAATAGAGACGAGGTGCCACATTTTCCTTTTTACCGTTAATTGATTTCAGTGTCCCTAGTTTGTACATGTATACCCATGTCAGTGTTCAAGATACATGTATATCTTTTGATCTGCAGATCATGAAGTTAACAAGTACATTCCAGTCAAAGTCAAGACACGAGAGGATAATTATGGCATTCGACTCGTCAACATCATGGTCTCCTTGAGGGGGCTGCTCCTGAGGGGTGAACCCTGTGCTAGAGAGATCCCCATCTTTGGGTTGCCCCTTGGCCATGGATTTGTAGTAGTGGGTACTATCGATGAGCTCCGGTTCGACAGTCAGGGACGATTTGAGCTGGTCGAGTTCAAGACTCGGGGAGACATTTCGCGGCCGATACGCAGACAGCAGATGCAGGCCTACAAGATGCAGATGATGATGTACAAGAAGATGCTTGAAGACCTGGGGCGAGGGCACGTTGATGGTCAAGCAGTACTCCATGGACTTAAAATGGATCCTCATCAGATCCTTAATGATGAACTACTCAAGTACGTTAGGCAGCTAGGCGATGCAAGCAGAACGAGTGTCACGCTCGGTGAGCTGATGAGTGAAGTGATGCAACAATTTGAGTTCCTCCCGTATGTGGATGTCCTTACACTGGAATTCAGTAGCCGGGATGACAGCGCAACCATCACCACGGAAACGGTAGACTTTGATGCCGACTGGCTGCAGCAGCGCCTGGACCACTGCCACGCATTCTGGGCAGAGGAGAGAGATGCGGAAGGCGTGGACATTGAAGACACGTGGAAGTGCGGGATTTGTGCATTCTACGACAGGTGCGAGTGGAGACAAAGGATGAACGAGATCTGTGCACAAAAAAACATTGCTAGAAGGCTGCAGGGAAAGTAATTAATCTTCCCAAACCCTTCCCAGTCTTTGTGCAAGGTTTTGAAAGGTTTACGTTATTCAGGAAGGGAGAACCCAGCCTCTACACGTGTAGTATGACATGAGGCTTGATGCCTCTTGAAAGTTTGAGAATGCACCGAGAATGTGCCATTCTGTTACAGCACACTGGGCGATTTTAGACAATTTGGCATAGCCATTGACAAAGTGCGATACAGATAACTTTTTAATCCATATCTTTAAGTTGCACCTTTCAGCACAGCACTTTGAAAACAGGATATTTAGGCTGCCGTTTAAATCTGTATTTTTGTGTAGTCTTAGCCTAAGACTCTCAGCGCTAGGACACACATGTAACTGGATAGATCCCTTGGCACTATCCAAACCAACTCATTGTATCATACTACCAGGTCATAATATTTTTGAGAGAAGTTCACACTGCTCAGGTGCTGTTCAGGTTATAACAGAATCAATTTAATATTTTCTGCAGCATTTTATACATTAGCAGAATTTCCTTATTGTGGCTCTTGAAAATCTTGACATGTCTGAAAAACAGAAAATTTCTCAGCAGATACAATATTTTTGCACAAGGCAGGTGTATTAAATCATTTGACACTGCAGTGTAGGTGTGACAAAACACTGCTGTGCCTGGCTCACTGGTGTACATCTGGGGGCCTATCCGGGATTTTCCTAAAGGGGGGGCGTGAACTAAGGCAATTATGGTAAAATGGCTGTACGGTGTGGGGTCTGGATCCATTTCGGGTTTTAGGCACTCTGTGGTGCGATTTCAGGCAGTATGACCCTTCTCTTTTCTTCTTCCCCCTCTTTCTTTTTTTATGAATTTATTTTTTGGGGGCAAAAGGGAATGTGCCCCCCTCCCCCATACGCCCCTGTACAGGGTACACGTACATGTATTGGATAATTACAAAGTCAAACACGGACATACATGTACGTGTTTGACTTTGTACATGTACTTGAATACAGGGTTTTGAAAAGTGAAAAAACAATTTTTTTGCGCTAAAAAAAACTTTCACTTTTCTTGCTGGCCATATGCAGTTTCATAACTGGAAATCCCTCTTTCACGAAGCACTCGTGAATTCAGTTCTTCTTAGAGCAAAAATCTATAATACATGTATCTCTATATCTGATTGGTGTAATCTAGAGCAATTAAAGAAATGCATATATTTTTCACAACTCTTCCGGTTTCGACATATTTAAAATTAGTTGGTTTTAAAATGAAGAGATGCTATTTCAGTGAAACAAATTTCATGTCTTCTTTAGAAAGCCTACAAACCATTTCATAATTACAAGGGTCAGAAAAGATATATCATTTTAAGTAAACTTTACATTGAAATCCTCGCAATTGCATGTATGTACCAAGGGTGTAAAATTATCAGTAAATATTGCTCATTTGCATCAAAGGAACTGTAGTTGTGCAGACTCGTTTGGTAAAACTCGTTTGAAAACAAGTTTAGAATTGTCATTGAAAAAACATGCTTTGTTTTCATAAATTTGAGTTTAATTAAACAATTTCCGGAAATCATTCTTTGTCCCTTCCAACCTCTAAGTGACGTTATTTGTACATGCAATCCATGAAAACGTTTCCTTTTTTTCAGTGGAACAAGAAAACAAACACCGCATCACCTTATCCACATTCGTGTCATAACTAGAATAAAATTGATTTCCAGTGATCTCCACCTTGTGCAGACTTGATGTGATTGTTTAACGCTCTGCAGGGCCAACCATCCATTTTATTTTTTTGCAACAAGATCACTCAGGATTGATCCTTTGAATCCGAGGTTGTCCCTCGGAATATCATGGAAGATAATGTACATCCTGCAAAATAGTTTCATAAAATGGAAAGAGTAACTGGTAAAAGCTCCATCAACAAACCACACTGTTCACATACTGTATGATGCAAGATATGTGGCAAAGGGGGGGACCCCCTTTATTGTGTCTTCTTTTGTGTTGATGGAATTTCTGGAATTCCTTTCAGATTTCCGAGGGGGAATGGAGTAGGCACAATAGCCATAGGGTATACAGCTTGTGCATCACGTTGGGGGGGCCCTTTCCCACATATCGTGCCGGGTATCACTATTCATGGGCAGCTTAAATTATGAGGGGCAAACTGAGTCAAAAATTTCTGGTGACAATCATCTGAATCATTTAATTTTGTCGGGAAATACAGTCAAATTTTAATAGTCTACCGGCTACTTGTTTTGGTTTTTTTTTGTATGACACAACGGCTACAGTTCATTTTTACAAACCTGTCAGGGGGGACGCCCAGCTTTCCCATGATTTGTGTGATGAGTTTGGTATACTTGATGTTCTCTTCCGGAGAAATCTTGCCAGCACTGACAACGTTGACAAATGCACAGGGTTCATTGGTACCACCGAAGGCCATCAGTTGATCTGGCCGTAAATGCACCGAGATATACTGCACAGAGGATGGACAAACAAAACTACATTTAACTTAGTAACCCAAAAATATGAACTTTCAAACTCAGGACAAAACTTTTTCCCGATATCTGCAAAATATGATTTTGATTTCTCATCACTCCAGCTTCTCTTCAAAACAAAAGCATTTGGTTGTGAAACTTACAAAGACTTTGTTTAAAAGGTACATGTACTTGTAAAGCCCCACCTCCATTGGTTTTCCAATTGCCTCTTGGAAGAGTTTGGACGTTGTCACCAGAAAGTCCGGTTGGATGTCTTCCTCCTTGAGATTGGTATTGATCTCTAACATGGGCATCTTGACAAATCTTGAAAGATGGACATACAGTATACTGAATATGGACAAGGCGGATCTGAAGCCAATTTTTTGGGGGGGAGTTGGAATTTGGAAATTATTTCACATGTGACGTTCTAGAAGCCGAACCTAAATTTCAGGGCTTTTTACTTGCTTTTGCAAGGAAAATAACATTACATAATTACTACTACTAGCACCCCCGACGTTGTTTTTCCCAAAAAATGCTATTTCAAAGGGACCCTGGATCTACCAGTGAACATAAACAATTTCATTTAAAGAAACTGGAAGAAAATTCGTTCGTTCTCCTGTGGGTTGATCCGGTTAAGGGGTACGAGTGCAGAGAAACAGGGATTTAAAGTCCCCATATAGACCCCTGAACATGAAGGCCATTTATAATTAGCACAGTGACTAAGCATCCCTGTATGGTCAACGTGCATGGTCAATGTTCTTCAAGTTCAAGGAACAGATGATGTGGTCACTGGACAGGGACCGTTCCAAAGGTTTGGCAACTCACAACAAACCATGTAAGCTCAAATCACGCCAACATGCATACAGCTTTTCCCGAACAATCACAAAAATCTGGGAAATTACCTATATTTCGGCCTCAGTAAAAACAGCAAAATCCGCAATGCCTACCTGATTAGTTTAATTGTGTCCAGTGTGACACGGTAAATTCCACTGTTACAAAGGGGTGGCAATTATTTAATAGTGAAGCTGAGAACTTTATCATGACCTATGTATCAGAACAGCGTACAATTTAATGATTAATTACTATGATAGATTTTTTTACCCTCCCCTTCCCCCCAAAATTGTTAGACTTATGATTGTGTTCTCATATTTTACAATATCTTTTCGGACTCCCCTATGTGAAGATTTAGACTTGGCTTTCGAAGGTCAAAGATTATGCTGAAAAAATAACAACATGACTGACTGCAGCGGTACCGGCAGCGATGCAGATGGCTTCACATTTGTTGCAAGAAAAAAGAGGGGCAGTCGGCCCAGATTTAGTGAGAAAAAGAGTGGAGGGAAAAGGAAGGGTAACCTCGAGGTAGTCCAGTCTACAAAAGAAAGCAGTAATATCGACAAAGTGGCCATTGAAAAGAAAATTTTTCTTGCGAGGTATAACCTGGTCGTGCCGGTTGTAATGTTTATGTTTACTATGTCAGAATGTGAATAACGTGCGTACACGTATGGTACTGGCGGGATGGTGCAACTCAACTGTGTCATGCCCAAAGACCTAATAAACCTTATCGCAAATACTGCATGGATGATTTTGCACAATTGTAGAAAGGCATTGTGGGAAGGAAAAAGGGCAACGTTTGCTTCTCCTTCTCACGATGTCTTTCTACCATTGTGTAAAATCACCCATGCAGTATTTGCGATAAGGCTTATGCGTAGACCATGGCCTGGAGGAAGGATGCCTTATCCTTCCTCCACACATAGACCACCGGATCTTATTCAAAACTAAAAAAGTGAACTTCGTATATGGAATTCTTTCCCAAAACTACAAAGGTTTTTCGTGATCTGCGGGGCGCCCGACAAAAATCAAAACTAGGCCCTATGGACAAATTCATCCCTAGGCCCACAAAGGGAATTTACGCACAGTTGAAGAATTCCAGCCGTAAAATTCCATGAAGCCATTTGTATTTTTTTACTAAATCTGGCTCATTCTAGATTCAGAACAATGCAGTTGCAACATTTGAATAGAAGAGATAGCAATAACAAAAATAATAATAAATCATTTAAAAAACGCTTTCCATGTCAATGACATCACAAAGTGCTGTACATTAAATATTCAGAAATTAAATTAACTAAAAAATTAAAACAAATGATAATTAAAACAGTCATTGAACAAGACAAAAAAATTAAACGAGAAAGTACGAGATAAATAAAAGTACATTAAGCAACAACAAAGAGCAAAAAAGTGAACGTATTTATAAGCACATGTAAACAAATACAGGCAGTTTGTGCACTGCACGTAATACGCACTGGATGTGTGCTGTCTACCGTGTCGCCCATTGTTTGCCCATACTTTTCAAAATCATGATTATACACTCAAGACTGGTGGTCTGTGCCTTTATATGTCTGTGGTCATGTCCAAAGATCATATAGCACTACATAGTGGCGCAAGATGGAGAACTTCACTGTGAATGCGCATAAAACGTTATGGCATGGGCGCGATTTGGGTAGGAATACGCTATGTTAACACAACAGGTGCAGGTCATAGTACTTTTGAGAATGAAGAGATACAACAATGACCTGGAGTTGTTGGGGAAAACAGACTACCCTGTGCCTGGCAACTTGGCTACAAAGTCAGAGTGTCTTGAGAATGACATTGTGGGTAGGAAGTCAACCGTGACTCTGTAGCCAGCTACTTTGTTGGATACTTGAGTGGCAGGGTATTCTGCAATTGTATCCTAATATCTTAGACATAATGAAAATCTGAATCACAGAGCAGGAAGAGCTGGTTACTGAGCAAGGGCTGCTTGATTGACCAGCGTTTACCTCCATTGATATTAGCTAACATTTTCTCATAAAAATAAATGAATGAATGAATTTAAAGTAATTCCTAACTTTTGTTTTCCAGGGAGGAATTGCAGATAAGTGACTTCTATAGGAGTTTTCAAGGTACAGTAATTAGAATGATTTCAAAGATAAGAAACACGTTTGTTGGGCTGTGCTTTTGACTGGAGACAGCCTGTTTCTGTTTTTATTAAAAGAAATAAATAATATAAGGGATTTAACGAAGAATTCACCAGTGATTTTTATTTGTTTGCAAGATCATATACAATATCTGGGTCATTTAGTTTGAAAACTTTATCAGTATCACCTTAGATGCTTTTTTTTGGGAAGAAAAGTGAACTGAAATATTTTATCTGTCACTACTTGCTTTGGTTCTTTATGTACATTTATTCATGTGCATTTGAAATTCTCAGTTTCTTTTTAGATGAATTATTCTTAATTATTTCCAGTAACGACACCAAGGATTCCTCTTAAGCACCCCAGGCAATGTAGCTCGCAAGCCTGAAGAAACCTGTAGAGTGGAGAGAGTGGAGCAGCAGTTACAGTTTTAGAGGTTAAGCTTTCTGACTCTTTAAATCTTTTTGCTTTGCAGAGTCACTCTTTGCTGCTTTGAATGAAAAGAGGTCATCTGCAGTTGAAAAAGACAGTGGAAATATTACGGTAGTAAATCAACAGAAGGCAAGCTATTCATCTTCAGAAGCAAAGGCCCCTGGAAACTACAATAAGAACTTACAGGATACTCCAAATGGTGGAACAGATTTGAATTCAAAAACAGCAGAAGATGGACCGTGTGGGATCAGGACTGAACACGATGATGATCCATGCAGTGCTCGCCAAGACAGTTCAAAAATTGACAGCAAGAGCTCCGAAGATGACTTTGTGGGTAACCAGAGAGATGAAGTCACAGAGATCAAGGGTCCAGCCAGGGATGGGGTTGTCAGCGGGTCAGTGCACACTGTGGTGTGCTATGGACTTGGCAACTTCACAGATTGCGCCATTGCGAGGTACCAGCTGGCATTGCTGCTGCTCATTTGTGAAGGACTGAAGGTAAAGACTTTAGGAAACCAGTGTAAAAAGAGCATTTTCACTTTTTGCATCTGGATACTCAAATGGGACTGAGGAGGGTTAAGGTAAATTAGAATTGTTGTTCTTGAAGTGGTTAAACCTAAAGAAAGAGATATTAAATGTACAGGTCTCTGTATTGTGTAATTGATTGATATTTTATCAACAGATCAAGTCCTCTGAGTGTCATGTGTATGATCCCAGATTTACGGCTGAAGAGATGCAGATATTGTCAAGTCTTGGCTTGGACATCATACCACAGAATGAGGTAAGGATATTTGAAAACTATCGGCCTACGTACATTGACATTGGTAAGATGGAGCGATTACCTTTGTCTTTAGAGCACATTTTGTTGATCAAAGGGTACATGTCTTTTTCCAAGACAACAGGAGCTAGATGTGTGATCTTTGAGGAAAGAGCAGTGAGTTTGATTGGATTGGTAATTCTTAGGTTTGTTGCTGACCTGTGATATTCAGCGGTTAGTCAACTACCCTGCATAGAGTGTGGTATCAGTGCCTTCTTGGTAACTTGATCAAATCATTGCCGTGTGTCCACTGCAAATATGGTCGATATTCAGAAGTTGTTGCTCATTAAATGCACACAAGAAAGAGTGATAGCATTGACAACGTCTGCCCATTGTGTAGATTGCTGTCCTCAGCCCAACATCACCGTGCCTCTAGGCACTAAGAACTTGCTTGGGAAATTTATTTGCTTGACAGAATTCAGCTGGGAACCAGCCACTACCAGTTCATGTCACACCTTTTGGCTGGTCACATGTTTTTGCTGAGGAATTTTGTCCTTCGCTAAGCATGTTCCTCTGGTAAGCAACTCCAGGAAATTGTACCTAGGTATAGTGTTCTAAAATGAACAGGCAATCAGGCTTCAGCTTTTCAAACATTGTGCTTCGGCTTTCAAGCTTTGCCCAAACATCTTGGTTCAACTTTCAAACGTCGCAGGTCAACTTTTCAAATTCTGCAGTTCAACTTTCAAACACCACCTGTCAACTTACCAAAGACAAGGTTCAACTTTCAAATGTCGCAATTCATCTTTTCAAATGCCATGTTCACCTTCTGAACGTTGCCTTTCAACTTTCAAACTGACATGCATAAATGCATAGAGCAATAAACCAGAATGCCAACTGGCAATTATGTAGGTCCTGTAGGTATACACTGAATATTAAACAACACCCCAGCAGTAACTTGAAGTACAGTGTGATGTTAGGAAGTGAAACCCCAGTGTTTATGAGTTGAACCACGACATTTGAAAGTTGAACTGCAACATTAGAAAATGTTGAAAAAGTTGAATTATGACGCTTGCCTGTCCATTTTAGACCACCATACCCAGGTGGTAGATTTGGGGAAACTAGAGTTTCAAAAAAATCCGTTCAATTTCTCCATCAATATCACAGGAGTGTAAGAGAGTAGCTAGTGAGCCAACGCTCTTCTACATGCCTCATTGCGGCAAACCACTTTACAACAACCTGCTGTGGGCTAACTGGAGTGTGGAAGGACTTGCAGGCATCACCATCATCGGCAACAGCTTCAAGAATATCCAAGAAAGGTAGGCTACACTAGGGTTTCTTCAGATTTCCTCTAGTCCTTCAAAATGTGACTTTTGATTGGTTCTTTGAAAATAAGTTGTTGAATTTTTAGGGAGCATACTCCCCCTCCTCTGGTTTTCCAGCAAATCCAGAAATGTTTCAATATTTTTGACGATCAGTTCCTCAATTCAGAAAAACTAAACACCACCAATTTCAAATATAGGATTCTTACTCATTCTTACTTTTTTGTTCAAATTTCAGATTACCAAGCAGAGTGTTGCAAGACTTTCGTTACTTACAGCAGGTATCCTTTCAGAAGGCTTGAGTTGGTGTAAAAGGTCTCCAGGTGTTTTGAGATGTAATTTAGGGCTAAAAATAATTCTTATAAATGAACTAGTTTTGTACGTGTGTAATAACCTTCAGCATATTGAAATTATATTTGTCCATTAACATTTTGGTGTATGCATCAACATGGGCCTTGTCACAGCACTTTTAGCTCTGGCTTTCTGTTTGAGAAAGTAAAATTTGGTAGTAGTCTGCCTTAACTCAAGCACTTTCCAGATTGCCCCACACGTGAGGGAGTTCCCCATTAAAAGCAACTTTCGTTTTATGGACATTTTCAACGACACGTCCATCCACGTCTTTCCGCAAGAGAGGCTGCGGGAAGTTCCCTGCGCATTCTGGGATAGTCAGGACAAGCCGCACTATGATCTAGATGCAGCGACTGAGATCATCCTTTGCAAGGATGGGCCACCTTGATCGGTTCACACACAGCCTTGGGGGAGGTGCCGTGACAGCACCCTCATGGTGATTCAAACTGGTTGTTACTCAGCAGCTGTTCATTGGAGTCCGGCAGGCTGCGCACTCGACGCTCCCTCACACACGACTAAAGACAGACGGAGCCATCACCCGCGTGCTGTGGTCACAACACTCGGGCAAAGACGCTATTGGTTCTTTTGTTTGTTCGCCTTGTCAAGTGAAAATCAATCATGGTAACTTTGCAGAGTAAGAATGCGATCAATTGTAGGTATGCTGACCCAGGGGAAAATCTTTGTTGGGAGAACGGTAAAGGGTGCACTCTGTCCCACGTATTGGAACACCGGTCACGCGTATTGCCATGTTTGGTAAACCAGCTACACTGATTGTGTAACATCAACATGTGCATACATCATGTACATACCAACATTGGTGTGCCATAAGGGTCCAGCAGAGTTCAGTTACGACAAAGTGTCAACAATTATATCTCAGAGATGTTTCTGTTGGGATTTATTACTCATATTCAAGCATCATCAAATGATCTTGTAACGAAGGAAAATGAAAAATACATATAAATATGAATTATATAAAATACTCACACTGGTCACGTTTTGCATAACTTGGATAGTTAAATACAGAAACTGGTTGCAGAATTAAAGAGCAGATTTTTTAAGAAAATGACAGAAAGGTTGCAAATTTGACAAAATCAGTTCACTAACGCATAATTATATGTGACTTCTTTAAGCAGAGCACCCCCTTGAAATTTGTGTTTGAATGTAATGTAGTACCTACTAAAACATTGTGCAGCATTTCAAACAGCAAAAAATATTTATTTCTTTTAATGGACAACAGAACCATTGAAACTAACCTCCCATAAAAACAATCCTTAACTCCAGATTGCCAAAATGGACATCAACCTGGTTGAACAAGTCAAAAAACCGTAAAAAAACAAATCTCTCACACACGTTTGTTAAAGATCTTGAAAGTGATGCAGATTTCACAAAGATGTTTCAAAACTCTTAACACACCGGAAAATTGATAAATGCCCTCTTTGTACTTAGTACACCAATCAAGGACAGTTGAGGATGACATTTTATTAAGTCACTTCCAAACCGGAAATGCGCATATAACACAATGGACTTTCCAAAATGTCATATTCCCAAAAGGAACACCTTCATGTCAGAAAGCGTTATTTCAATATTTGCTGCTCACATTACTGATACTTTTCAAACCATGAACACTTGCTCAAGCCCTCAGAAATGTATAGAATACATGTGTTTTGCTGTGAATTCTACAGACCCCCACCAAGAAATACAGCAGTCATTTTTCTTTAATATTTTCTTTAAATTAGCAATACCATGCACACATCACTTGCTTTGGTTTTTGCAGATGAAAACCAGTGGGTTTTTTTAATTACTTAACCTTAAGCCCAGTTCACACTGAAATACAGAGCAGTCTTTATCATGAAAGCAGAATCTAAGGGGAAGGGTTAATGTACATGTACACCACGGAAAATCTGTCCAAGTTGATCATCGTGAGAAACTACAGAATATATACGGGTATAGGATGTTAGAGTTGCTCCACATTTACACTTAAATAATCTGTGATTAAAATCTGTCCAAGTTGATCATGTGGAGATCCAGTATGGACTAATCCGGCGACCAGAGTAGGAAGTCATTTGTGTGGCCATCCTGTTCGCACGCAGGTGGTAGGCCCGCATTTCACTTCCTCTTGAACCAATAGGGTGCTGAAATTGCCGAAGTGTGCGCGCACGCCCAAGTTAAGACCTGCGCGTGGGTGTGATGACCCCGCAAGAAAGGCATCTCCTAAGATTTGTCTATACCTAACAGGATGTAAGATTTGCTCCACAATGCAAAAACCAGACTTTACAATGGATATCTCACAATCTAGTTTTCCCACAGCCTAGGTACTTGAAATTTCTATACATCTTGAACAGCACAGTTCACCGGCCATTCAAAAAAAGTAAACCCTTGCTCCTTTAAAAGTGCTGTGAGCTTTAACTGATTCAAAAAATGATTTATAGGCCTTACGAGCAGGGGTAAAAATACTCTACCTTGATTCTGGGGCCAAGGATGATCACCACAGTCTTCACAGCACAACTTTTCAAATTTGCAATCCCTTACATACCCGTAGGTCTTCCAGGATTTGTTTACTGTATAACTTTCAAACAATCCAATACCCTAATGAGAGGAAACCTGAGGCCTATGTTTTTAAGAGCCCTCGTAAGTATACATGAAATTACTGAAAGCCTACATTATATCATTTACTGGTAAATAATATACTCGCTCAGCCTGTTATAAATTAGTCTTTATAAGTTACATATTTGATGAAACAAACCTCATAAATACTATGTGAATACATTTTATAAACCCAAACTTGCAAAGTAATATACCCATGAGTTGTGTACTATGCTTCATGAGTTCCCTGAATGGTGTTATTTAAATGATTGGACGTGGATATTACCCCCAGCAGGTCCCTACGCTGTGCCAACCACAGAATGGTTCAAACCTTACCCATTTGACAATTCCCAAACGTCAGGTTCGGACCACAGATTTTGTTCCTATCGTATTGGTACATGTATGGTATTTCCCTTAACAAAAAGGTCACTGAATCATTTGAAAGATCATTATGGTTTTTTTTCTTTTTAAGGAGAATAACCTCTTAAGCTAAGTTATAATCGCTTTGGGTTTGTTTTGGCTGCAAAACCTAAGTCAGTTTAATTTGGCTGAATATCAAAATGTTGTTACAGAGGCACGCATCATCATGCCTCTGTGGGTATACATGTACATGTACCGTTGTGTCATTAATGTGTTAGTTCCCGGTACAAAAAATTGCACACCATTCAGTACATTTTCTCATGATATATGTGTTGTCAGTCGTTCAACAAATCCGTCTTACTCTGAGATTTTCATCTTCATCAGTATGGTTTACAAGGTAGTTTCAAATGGATATTTTTAGTCACAAATGTCCCCTCAAAGTGCATGACCAGAGGGGCTACAACGTTAACCACGTTTGAAGAGTAATAATAGACAATGGCCTCCACACTTCTATCATGTGTCCATGTCTATCATGTGTCCATGTAGTGACAGTACAGACGTTTTCTATGCATTCTGGGGCACAGGGAAGGCCATCTTGTGTCGAGATACAGAAAAAGGTGATTAACGTAGCGACTTGGTCCTCTGCCCGACAGGAAGGCACCGTTACTTCTTCCATCAGATTTCTTCGTGCCCTCGGTGGGCCAAGGCACTTGCGCACAGCCAGGGCCAATAAGACACAGTATCATCAATCTGACGTAGCCTGGTTAGATTGCACGGCCACCGAAATCCCATCTACTTTCTCCCAAATGGACAGGCAAAAGTACCTTACCACTCATCGTCTTGCAGAAGAGCCCTACATGTAGAACTCAGGAACACATTACCGAAGTTGTATCTTGTCTTGTTACTGTACGCTCACACAAGCCATGGAAATGCCAAACTGCAGTCTCAGACTGAAATTGTTAAATACGAGAGCGCAATTCTAACACACCAATCTTATGAGAATTGGGAGAGTTGATGGACAATATGCGACACACTCATAAAAATCCTGCTACTTTTTTGGCGCAGCAGGTCAGCCAGCAGATGCATTAACATTTAAAGGTGCCGGCAGCAAACATTCCACAGAGCTGAAATTACTCGATAGTCTTGCACTGAAAAGCTTGGCATCTGTTAGTTATTTTGATAAACTCCCTAAGTTCAGCCGTCATCATCCCAGTCCAAACGTGATGCCAATCCCGACGAATGAGGCGGAGGGGCTCATGTGAGGCGAGTCCTTGTTGTCCATCATGCTCTTCAGCTCTGTCTTGGGCGTGTGCTCGAAGAGCGCCGCCCGGTTCTGGACCTCACCCTTCTTGACCCAGTGGCCGTACATGCCGAAGGCGCAGCCATCGATGACCTTGCGGATAGCCTTCACCTTGTAGGGGTTCTGGCGAGCCCGGCGGATGGGGATGGCGCGCTGGGTGCTGTAGCGGGACAGAGTGCAGATGACGGAGACAGCTAAGACGGCGGCCTGTGAGGGTGGAAGAGACAGGAAACTAGATCAATATTGTCCCATAATTGTGGCCATTGCAACTTTATCCTAGACACAACATTTAAACTTTTTACATTATGAGTCTGTGACCAAGTCCAAGACAGACCAAAACAAACCAAGTCTCTCAGTTCTAATGCTCTGTGTACAGGCGTGCGACAGTCCTGTGACTTTGAATCTCATATGTAACATGTTTTATGCATGCACTATTTGGCTAAAGAATAGGGCTGTGCTGGATTTTAGATCGATTTTTGAAAATTCAAATATTATTTTTCAAATATGAATATATGAATTCAAAATTCCCAAAAAGGAAGAGAGATTTTCTGTTTTAGATGTGAAAAATGGCAATTTGGAGGTTTGTTTCAAGCAGTTTCAAATGAAAAGCGTCAGAAATCTCACGATTTAAAAAGTAAATTAGTCATTAAACAATTTAAAAGGAAGAGAAATTCTCAACAGGGCAAGAAGTTTTGTTCATCTCTTAAATCTTGCTAAATCGTGGCTGGAAATACTCCTAGATGTGAGAAGCTATTATGTTGATCATAATGTACAAATGTGTGTGTTATTGCAATTGATTTTGTATACAGTTTGTTCATCAACAATCTGCCGGTCGGTACAACTGAATATTCAGTTATTCAATCGAATTGAAGGTCAAATAGTGAATTATTCGAAATGACTCAGCCTTACTAAAGAAAATGTCATATCTATGTCTGTCATCTAATGCAGTCTTAAAAGCTTGGATTGTGTGATTGAAACCTCCACTGAAGTCTTCAGACCAACTGGTTTTTTTCTTAAAGCATAAAGTGTAGAAAGATATTCCTTACCCTAAACTTCTTCCGAGGAGTGAAAACCATTTTGGACGGCGAGTCTGAAATTTGGAAGAACTGATTTTGAAGCGCCTCTTTTGCCGTTAGCCTCTCTGATGGCTGTACGACAAGAAGTCTTCTTATCTAGAAATAAAACATGATACATATGAATCATTGGCACACATCTAGCTCTAAATCTGACTCCATCTTGGAACAATTGAAGGAGCCGTATGGCATTCACGGAAGTTGTACCAGTGTGCTTGTGACCCAAAACAGAAGCCATTTTGGTTCCTAAGTCCGCATTTGTCATGTCACCTCAAAGCACTGTCATTTACAGCCATTTTTCAACAAATCAACATAGTATGCCCAACAACCTAAAATTTTCAACTTCACATTGTGTCTCGTACCACATGCCATGTCTTGCGTTAACATGACCTTATGTTGCAACTCTCTCAGTAAAGCTCTCATCCAAGGAGTGTGTCGCGAGAGACAGATTTTTATAATTTTGGAGCCAAGATTTGCTGCGGGGATGGGTGGGGGAGGGGTTCAGGTTGGAGGGCTAGGAATCTCACCAGGTCCTTGGCTGCCTCACTGACATCCTCCCACTCTGGGCTGCCAAAGGAGTACCGTCCCTCCATGATGGTCCGCAGCATGATCACCTGACGCCGATGCCAGAAGGGCGGGCAACCAACAAGCCTAGGAATGCGCAACACAGAAACAGCTACATGTAACTCCTGCATGCTAAGCTTCCTTCCAGCAAGATATGAAGTCCCCATATTCAGGTTTGTACTCTAAAACCGAACTTTGTTGTTTTTTAACTTCTCTCCTAATGGTATTTTGGTATCTGGAGCAGCGATTATGAGCAAAGTCACAAGTCCCATGCCACTCTGACATGCATCGACAGAATACTGACCGTGGAATACCTTTGACCGAGTTCAAAATTTGATTCAGTGCCGGATCCAGTGAGGGAGTTGTCATGCCCCCTCTCCCCGGAAAAGTCTATTTTAGGAGAGGGATTTCACATTAGCGCCGTCTGCGCATATCCACATCGAAACCGAGGCTCTCTGTGTTGAACTTCACCCCGCGCGCCCGTGGAGTCCACACAGTTTAAACAGTATCCCGTTCATGTGACACCACGTCAGTTTAAACCACACCCACTGCACAAGATACACGACCATCACAGGTACGTTAGTTCGCGGTAAATTGTCGTTATTTTTTCTTTGGATTTTACCTGTTGAGTCATCCTGAAAGACTCTTCCACAAAAATTTGTAGCCTGGAAAGTCTGAATTTAACATACCTTTATGTATTTTGTATCTCGACTCCTTACTTTCAATCGTCTTATTGTATTAAGAATTGAAACTGACACATACAGCCTCGTTTTCAAATGTGGAAGTGCACAGATCAACGCTAAAAGCGTCGTATTGGTATCCCTCTATTAACCCTAACCCCCCAAGGGTGTATGTAAAATGTATTGAAATTGGAAGATTTGGGAGTGTTAGGATTAAGGAATTGAAAAAGCCCACACTTGAAAACACAAACTAGCAATGTCCTGAAGGGACATGATTCTGTTATGGATTAATAAAAAATTGACAAACATATTCAAGTTTGCCCCCTCCACCTTGCTCCGACCCAAAATGTGGATACGACCCTCATCTGAATGACCTGTTACTTAACTTTAAACTCAATGACTTGCCTGACCTCTGATGTCATCATTGTTATACTGTATTTCTTTATAAGCTTGCTATGTACAAACCACAGCCACTTCTGTCCATTATACTCATTTTATTCCCGGATATAAATACACCAAACAAAAATGCACTGAGACAGCCCACGACCAGCGATACTCACAAAGTGTACATGATGACCCCACAGGCCCACAGGTCAATCTCCTTCCCGTAACCTTTGACACCATCCAAGTTCATACTGCATTTCAGGGCCTCTGGGGCCATGTACCCAGGGGTGCCACACAGTTCTGATGTGCAAAAAAAAAAGGATCACGGACAAACTTCGTGAAGTACAGCAATTCCTGGAGTTTTGATAAGCTTCTGATAACGATGGGTACAAAAACCAACCAAAGCATCAGTTATGGTCTGTTTGTTTCACTCCTGTTTGTTTCACACGGATCTGGGTCACAATCAGTGATCTGTCGTTGGTTCACTGACACCAGATATCGCCTTATGGATGAAGCAAACAAACATTAAGATCACTGGTTGACTCGATCCAGATCCGTGTAAAACAAACAGGTCATATGACAGATTTCCAGATGTGTCTTTTGAAAGACATTCACCATGGATATCGATTTTATCAATGCCACTTTCTATGTTGTTTTTAGAAAACCTGGCATTTTTTGTAAAAACTATGAATCCCCAAATACATGTACCAACATCTAAGTAGAAATCCAAGGGCACTTTCTTTGCACCCAAAGGTTGGGGCCTCAACTCAAACTGAGGCAGATCTAGCATTCAGGAAATGGGCTGATGGGGATTTAAGGAGGATGTAAGACATGACCCCCCGGCAATATTGAAAGAAAATGTGGTGCTTTCTCCTACACTCTATGGCAACACAAAAATGAAATCAGGAACTACAGCCGTCAGTTATTTCAGTCCCTCCATTATTCATGACCCTGTTTTACTGGCACCTGCTGGGTGTGTGGGGGAATAGGACATGGGGGTTACAACCCACTATTACACATCTTTCTAATTTGTTACTGTCTTATGGTGGCTACTGAGGACAATTAGTCGTAATACTGCATCATGACTTCATGGGAAATGCAGGAATGGGGGTTAGCGAGGGTCAGCAAGTACGGAGGTGGCAGCAGTGCAAGGGTGAAAATTCTGCAAGGGAGGCTTCGGATGTTTAGTTTCTGAACACTGATTTTTGTTTCTATTCTCACCTGTTAGTTGCTTTCCGTCTTGTACGATAGCCGCCATGCCAAAGTCCGATATCTTCACTGTCAGATTTTCTTTGAGCAAAATATTCTCCGGCTGTTGGGAAAAAAACTCACATTTTTAATGATCCGTTTTAAGCTTAATTAGTGGAGGTAATGCATATGCAGAGAATTCATGGCTGTTGAATGTTTCAAACTAGTTGAAAGGAAAGTTTACCTTGATGTCCCTGTGGACGATGTCCTGGCTGTGGATGTACTGTATTGCATCTAGAATCTGCCTCATGATATTCCTGGAAAAACGACAAGTTAAACGAAAGATCTGATTTCAGTGTAGGGTGCCACGGTGCAATTTCCCTGCAAAGCGCTCTGTGCCAAACTGCCATACTAAGTTGCTTCCCTGAGCTCGGTTAAATCAAACACGACCAGAAGTTGTTTGACAATCTTCGGTGAAAAAGAAATTTTTTTTAAAAATTTCATTTTCAATTGGCAACTCGTGTGAGACATTGCTGTGTTTTCAGAGAGGTTGTTTCGACATGTGTGATGGTATCGGGAATACTTGTTTTTTAAACTATAACAAGGAATAGCCAAGTTTGGTCCTGTATGTGGGTATTCAATACAGCCACCAAATTGGACCCCACTTCAGAGTCCATCAAGGTATGAAACTGTTGCACTGACCACTCGACAACCAGATGTTCTGATTACCTGAGGGTTATATAACAGGCCTTTTCTATTCTGAAACCACAACCTACATTGCCCAAGAGATTATGCACAATGTTTGAAGTATAAGGGTTTTGGAGAAAGAAGAATAAATGCTTCTCACCTAGTTTTCTTTTCCGAAAGTGTGACGACCTTGGTGAGATAGTCAAATAGCTCACCCTCGGGACACCTGACCAAAAAAAAAGGACAAAGATGGACCGAAATTCTCAAAAAAAAAAGAAGATTTTCAAGCGAAGAATGGGTCTGTCCATTCGTTGTCTACAAACCAACTACAGTCCCACTCATGAGTTTACAGGTCTGATTGTTTCACATGGTTGTGGATCATGATCAGTGATCCCAGGGCTGGTTCGTACAATCAGATGGGTTCTGGTGTTGCTGAACCAATGACAGATCACTGATCGCAATCTGGATCCACACAAAACAAACAGGCCAAAGAAAGCTTGTATGTCCAAACTCTGCTGCCCCCAATGCAAATTACCACAATGAAAAGAGAAAGCCTCTTACAGAGCACCTCTAAGGAAAACATGTTTTCTCTGATTTTTTTTTTTTTTGGGTCATGCCAAGATGTGAATTCTGGATGCAGATTGCGTCATTCGGAGAAAACAGAGAAAAACAAGGGGAACCCTCATGCTGTGTTCGTTGTGGATAAACCCCTATGCATGCAAACAATGGCTACACGCATTATTCGGCATGCACAATGGTTTATCCACTACGAACACAGGGCGAGGGTTCCCGTCGTTTTCTCTGTTTTCTCCGAATGACGCAATGTACAGAATTCAATTCATTCAAGATTCACATCTTGGCACGAACAAAAAAAAACCATTTAGCTTGTTATAGTTGAGCTCTGAAGACAAATGGCACTGCGTTCAATTTGGATGCTTCCAATTTATTTGAACGGATAAAATCAGAGAAGACATATTTTCCTTAGAGGTGCTCTTTAACGCAACAAAATGAGCAACATCGGGACCCTTGAATGAAGAATGACTGTTTGGCTTCACAGAAGTATATTCAGCTCAGTGCAGCACAGTAGTGCAACAGAATTAGAGCTGTGGGAAGTAACATTACGTTCTAGTTTATATTATGGACTTGTGCCAAGTATGATGAGCAAGAAATCTGCACACTCCATCAAAATGAGGAACAGGAGGAGACAATAGAAATGAGTACTATGGGGTCTGGTGTTCCTGACCTGCTCCACCAAAATGAGGAACACATTGGAATGACAGGAATGAGTACAGGTGCCGCCATTTCCCAACCACTATATCATAATCAGCAATAGAGTGAAGAAAAGTGTTGGTCCATTATCAGCCTGAATGAACAATGCTCAAATCTAGAGAGCAACTTATCCAATCCATTGAAATGCATGCAGTTACTGCAAGATAAAATCACATTTTAATTACCAAGCATATCCATAATTACACTCTGTCAAAGATTCCGGCACAGTAAGGAAATCCTTGTATGGAAAGCATACTTACAGTTCAAAGACCATGAAGAAATATGTTGGGGTCTGAATGAAATCAAACAGCTCAACTGGAAAGAAACCAAAAAAAAATACCACATTAAAATTACAGTCTCTAGGGTTCCTTACACATCCACTGCACAAATGATATGGTGTTCAATTTTCCACCTTTTGAGCTATACATTTGCTGCACGATCAGCATGACTTCATCAAAACAGACATCACGTGCACACTGCTTACAGTGTCTATCTTAATCACCATTAGCATCATTTCCTAATGCAGACCTCATTTCCTTTTTTTTCTGCAACTGGGACCTGAACATCCTGATTGCCCGGGAAACGGCATGTCACTTTTTCATAACCACAAAAATCAACACAGTGTGCAAAGTGATACATTCAGCTACCACGCCATGATGTAGCAGGACTGTTATAGGATGAGATTGGAAGAAAGTGCAATATCCACAAAATATTCACCAGATTTTGATGGCCCCATAGGGTCCATGGTATGAGTTTGCCTAAATACTCACTTCTTGTGTATCCAGTTTTACACGGGTAAACCACCTTCATGGTAAACTACAGCACTGCATGTACTGTGATTTTCAACTGAATGAGCACAACAAAGGTAGTGTTTCCACATCATGTGCTTATTTGGGAAGTAGCACTTAAAATGCCTTCTCTTGACAGTTACAGTATCTTTTGAACATGGGCAGGGACATTCAAAGATCGTCTCTTAAGAATTAGGAAAAGATGTGTCTTGTTCCTTTTTTAGGGGGATGGTTGTAAGGAGTGGGTCTGACACCCAGTACAACATTATCAACATCCACCTCCAAGTACACGTAAGATGATGATATCCACTTTGTTGCCATGTAAGCTTTCATAGGGAGCACCGAATCAGGTATCTATCGCTTGCTCCCATTTAAAACAACACATGTATATAAACTATTACATCATCAGTGCATGGGCCTATTGATGACATCTGCCTGCCACTGGCCAAAGTCTGCCAGCAGAAGGCACCCCTTACTGATGTTCTTGTGCTTGGGCGGGCCCGACAGCTGACGGAGGATGGCCACCTCATTGTTGTACTCCTCCTGGATGGCCTGGGTCCGGTCCGTGTTCTTCTCCGACGTGATGTCGATGATCTTGACGGCAAAGAACTGGGAGGTGTCACGCATGATACACTTGCGGACGGTACTGCTGATGCCCCTGCCAGAGAAACATTGGCGGACAAGCTCATTGAATATGATCAAGGCACTATTTCAGGTGGCAGAAAATTCATGCTTGTGCTTAGCATAAATTTCTGCCAACCGTAAACATGATTTCACGGTGGTGCTTGGCGTGGTTGTTCCTGTCACAGCAGTACAACACCTACATGTATTCCTTCCTCAGCAGCCCCATTGCCCGCTGAATGCTTTGCAAGAAAAGGTTGATGGTTGATCAAGCGTTATACACCGTCTGTACACCCCTCCCCTCCTTGTGTACATTTTGTAAGCTTGAAAAAAAAAAGAACCTGTAACCTGTTTCTGCCATTCACACATTTTCTTTTTTTCCTCGAACAAACTTATGTGCTTCTCAGTGCTTATACACGTTTAACTCACCTCCTGGGCTTAGGTTGAGACAGGCATTGGCATTTGAAGGCACCCGTCCAAATTTGCCAAAAAATTGTAACCACTGTGTGCACACTTTCGACTCGGTAAAAGTTTGCAATGAAATCCCTTATATTTCAGGCCAGATGCAGAAGCAAAGGTTTTATAAAGAGAAAAACAAGACTCTTTGCTTACTTTCCAAGCATTTGCTTGGTGATGTACTTGCTGGAGAAGACATCGCCGTACTGTTTGCCCAGAAGGATGTCGGTATCCGTCTCATCCATGCCGATGGTCGGTGCCATCAATGCCAAGCTCTCAAAAACTGAACTCCCTGACTATGGTAAAGATGTCCCGGTATGGCCACCTAGCCTTCCAAGAAATTACTGGTTCAAGATACTCCTCCCAGAGTCTTGAGATTGGAGAGTTACCGGGGAGGGCGGTCTCCATGACAACAATCTGTCATAGCAACAGGGCCTCACATTGGGGTGACATCTCCCACACGGAGATCAGTTCTTTTAATCAATCCTAACAAGTTTTATGGTACTGCATGTGCTGCTGTCAAATCACGGCTAATAGCAAAGAGGTACCAGTACTACAGTTGGTAGCAAAGTCTCCCTTGGAGTGCAAGTCTTGGTCTTGTTGAGGGCCCACAGAGTCAGTCACGATGTAGTAACAGCTGTGAAAAAGATAAAAATGATCCAGATGAAACATCAGCACATTTCTTTTGGATGCTGCATGAATCATCCCACTAGATGGTGAGCATATTTAGGGGATGCTTTGAGACTGTGCCCTAAATCAAAGGTTCAATATTGGCATAACTACGGTGTAAGTATGCAGAGACTGTGATCAATGCCTCATACACCAAACAATGATACCTTTACCTGTAGTCTTGTCCATCACTAGTCCCTGCAAGTCCATTACATTACAAACACACCACATGACATGCAGTTGCGAATCAAACTATATGTACATGCTATTCAGCTGAACAGTGGCACAGGGCAACCACTTCCCCCGTCACTGTTCAGCCAGTTACTTGTGACTGATCTTACAGTGGGTCTTGTGATGATGACTAGTGGAGGGACTTGCGACGGGCTCCACTACAACACTGCCTAGCTACCCCAACTCTCTTGAATCCTCCAAAAAGTAGAAGGCAGGAATATTTTTGCAGAGTTCCGGAAGATGGAACCCAGTGAGGATAAGTCAATGTGTGACCTGTCAGCTTGGAAATTTGAAGTACAAAGACAGTCCACAACGGCACATTTCGGACAATTGTTTTAAATTTGTCCAAGTACAATGTACATGTACTTGTAACGTCAAAATATGTTCAATCAACTAGTTCGCTTATTCCCCTAAAGTGGAAGGTGTTAATTATTTTGCTTACTTCATAACGTTGGATCTTTAATATCAAGTATTTAGTGAGGTTTGAAGAATGAGGTTAAAACCAAGGAAAGACAAGCTGACACTGTTGGAAAAAAGAGTATTTCAGTGACAACTTAAGAAAGGGTCCAAACAATGGTACTGTTGGTATTATCGGCATTTTTGAATGTGTAATTAGGTAGGTTTTCTTTAACGTTCACGCCAGGTACAGGTCTCAGCCTTAGCACTACACCGGCATACAAATTCTAGAAAAAAACTGCTGCATGCTGGTAAAAATGCATTCTTTGCCCACCAGGCCAATTAAAGAAGCATGTCGCCGGTCCTGTTTGAAACCATCATTGGTTTTATTTGTAAAAATGAATACAAGAAAGATTACAGTTTTTTTATTTCATGCATTGTCTATGATCTGTAACGGTTTTAAATCCTCTGCTTTGAAGCCTGACTCCACTAAAGGTAAAAAAACAAAAGAGTTGAAAAAAGCCAGTTCAAGTTGGTTTTGCTAAGTAATGGCCAGTGGGCCAGTGAAACAAATAAGCTACCGTAACTTTTCCAGCAGGCTAAATTAATTTTTTAAAAAAGCTTAAGGTCAAGGCCTGAAAGTAGGTTTTTTTCTTTCACTGAGCCCTCATCTTGAATACTCATATCACGCTGAGTGTCCTTTTATGTGTAATGCCTGGACTCATAGAAGATCAGCGCATGGAAATGAATGGGCCAGCCTGTTAGGTGAGAGATAAAAGCAGAATAAACAAAAACAAAAATGCATTTAGAGGAAAATGAGGTCAAGTCAAAGTGTGCGTGTACATGTAGGCTTTTCTACCCTTTGGACTGTTTATTAAGCAAATGACCACCAGCACCCAACTAAGTACTCTGACCAACTAAGTACTCTGCAAGAGTATTCACTTTTAAAGCTGTTGAATTCCCATACAGCAAACTGAAACAGAGACAACATCTAAGTTTTGAAAGCCGTGAGAGGCTAACCCAGTCAACTCCCCTCCCTAATGGGGAATACTGGGCTGAAATGCAAATGTTTACACCATATACATGTATTGGCACATAAAATAAACACTTGACTTACCAGAAGCAAATATAAGATATGTCTGGTCACTTAAGACACTTTCCTAAGATGGTCAAAGAACATCAAACCACCTTCCACAAAGACAACACACAATCCACATCATCCTCCTGGAGGGTCTGTGATTTCTCTGAACACAAAAAGACCAGGCCATAGCACACATGCTACTAACACCACCCAGCCTAAACCTACTATTACATAACAGGATTCCCAAAATTAGCATATAACTGGCAGATAAGCTGCCAGTGCCTTGCCTATGAGCCAATGCAGCTCTGCCATTGGTCCACTTCTGACAGACCTGGGACACACCCCTTGAGGTAATACATAAGTGGTTGTTTTTGCAATTACACAACACCAGGGCTTGTGCACATGGTCAGACACGTGTTGCATAGAAGACTTAAATAAGTCTTGGTAGTTGTTTATCCTGGATTTGAGGGACACATACCCCAGCAACTTTCAAATATACATGTAAATCAAAAATGCTGGTACAAAAATATAACACAATTCCATTTGGTTTTTAAGTTTAAGCAAAATGGTGGAGAAAACTGTTCCTGTGGAAAATCATGTGAGAAGAAAACAAATTAAAGAAACATCAGTATAAATTGGACACAGTTTAGGACAATTTGAATATTAAAAATGATGCACTTTCTTTTCAGTCTTTTCAATAACTTCGCCTTCTTGACATTTTACTACTGCTGCGATATTTTCAAAATCAGTTTTCTAGAGGAAGAAATTCTGGCAAATCTCGCAGCAGTCCAGCTTTGTCCCATGAGAGAAAGGCACTGAGACATTCTGAGGCTTCTCAACAGGCCCTCGAGGATGATGCCTTGAATCACACAATTTCATCTCTAGATGAAAACTGTGGAGTGGTGGAAATGTTTAGAACTGTGTTTAATTGCTATGCACCTTTTATAGGCAGGGCAACTATCCACACTAAGGAAACGAGGCTACCACTGTCCCCATGCCTAAAATTGAAAACTTGGTCCCATGGTCAATGTCACCTCTCTTAGAAAATCATTTTCAGATGTGGACATTTGATGTCTCACTATAAAGTGGAAAGGCAAATCTCACATGTATGGACAAAAAATACCTACATGTGTGTTATTTATGTTGGTTACACATTCCAAGACTGGCATTCCTTTGTATTTTAGTTGAACTTTTTGAGACACACTTTATAGTACATACTTGTACACCGTACATAATGATGCTTGAGTGGTACACTTCAGCGGCCATACCAAGTCAAAGTCATGCATAATTGTGATCCTCAGGCATGTGGATTACAATCACACCATGCGACCTCCTGTGGCTACCAATACAGTTTGGATCTCTGAATCTTTGAATTTGTGCTTAATATCAATATCAGGGAAGATGGGAATTTGAGTATATTTACAGCCGGCTGATTTTGACAATTGCTCATTGGTATATATATATATTGATTAGCCATTTTTTATAATATTGGTTTTTATGTTTTTCAGTTTCTCGTGTTTTAATTAATTGTTATTGATCTTTGTTTTTCTACATGTGTTTTTTATGGGGGAAGGTTCGTTTCTATTCTGTGAGGCATATCAATAGTTTCTTGTTGCTCTTTTTAATGCACTTTTGTAGTTAATTTTTCAAGTCTTGCTCTTGTGATTTTTATTGGTGGTTTTTAAGTTTTTCTGCTGTTCTGTGATACATGCCCATAGTATATATTTCACATTTCATGTTCTTAATTTTTTGGTTTTTTTTGTAATTGCAATACTGGTTGATTGTAAAGCACCTGGGAGCACTGATTTTAAATGGATTAGGCACTTTATAAATTGACATTATTATTATCATTAGTATCTCCCAACTCCTCCATTGCAATTGGGACTGTCCCAGCTGGGACTGTCCAAACATGGAGGAAGGAAAAGAGCGGGACTGTCCCAATAGTTCATGTACCGTAGTTGAGGTCATTACAGTAATTGGGAAATATTAATACTGAAGGAGGAAGTCCATGCAACCATAATTCAATGAACATTAGAAAAAAAGAATAAGTCTTACTCCAAACTGGTAAACAAACAAATGGTCAAACAAAGAGAAACAAAAAAAGCTTAAACAACATGAGTGTGGTGGGCAAATCGGTCAATCTACCAGAGGCGGGTAATTTAGAAAAGAAAGGTGATTGGCTGATGGTATCACAAACAAAATGACAGCACAATCAACCAGCAGTGCAGCAAGATCAAGCAATCAACCAATTGCGCAGATTCACCATTTGTGCATAACGAAAAGAGAGCAAAAAACCAGTTTACACCACAGTCACACAAACACCTGGCTCAATGTTGTTTTTTCAACATGTTTTTTACATGTTCTCTCAAATACTTTTGTACCTAAACATTACTAATTTACACTGTAACAGTCAATGAGGCCCTTCGATATTCGATACGATATGTTTTTTACATGTTCTCTCAAATACTTTTGTACCTAAACATTACTAACTTGCACCTTAACAGTCAATGAGGCCCTACGATATTCGTTGAAATTTACATGCAATCTTTCTTTTTACAGGCAAGCAACTTGGCCTTCAACAAAAAACAACAAAATTCCAATCTCTACAAGACGTTGTGCATTGTTTTTCAATTTTCAATGGCAGGGGTGTGAAGTGAAAAACAAGGACATCAGCTGATCACAGGAAATGTTGCATGCCTGTTTTTAGGACACCGGTACTTGTTGGTGCGGTGAGCAAGCCGTAACTACATGTATAAGATGTTCAGAAAAACAGGACTTCTTACACAACTTGATCACCAGACACAACCCATACAGTCCGTCTCTTGGTTTCTAGCGCCACTAGTGTTTCCATGATAAAAGTGGGGCTAGGTTTCTTACAAGTGCATGGTCTTTTGTGGTTAAAATTACTGTGGTTTACTAGTTTGAAATTCTCGCCATTTTGGCAAATGAAGAGCAAGAAGTGTGTGTTCGCTAGTAATATAATAATAATGTTGTAGGCCTAAAGAGGTTTCCTAAGACATGTAAGACTAGGATTGCCACATTAACCCTAACCGCCAAGCATATTGTTTGGCTTACACTACACAGTACTACAAAATACTACGTAATAATCTGAGCCTGAAGGACCTAGCACTACAGATTACTACTTCTGGCTAGGTTACTTCCATTGTTACTCGTACAGAGAACAATAAAGCCATGCATTCATAGTGTCACAGCACTGTATGGTACATTGTCTTATCTACTGCACTTTATGGCTTCAGAGAACAATAAGGTTATGTCCTCTTACAAGTGACAGCACTGATTACTACATTTTACTACTAGTCATGACAAGTAGTAGGGTTAGGGTTAAAAACAAACACTGTTGGAAAGCTCCTGCTTCATATCTCTTCTGTTATCACTGTTGCTTATTTGGCATGTCCAGCTTACATGTCCGGCTTTACAAAACATAGGGCCTACATGTACGATGTAAACATTATGATGTAAACAAACCATGTCCTGCTCAACATGTCCAACGCAACTAACGTCAGGTCCCAGCTGACATTTAACTAAAGCTTCTCGTCTTGAACATTGTCGAAGCTAGTAACAAATGCACAAAAACATACACGTTCACTTACGCGAATCTCTGAATTGTCGTCTTCAACGCTGCCGTACCGATTCTAGCTAAATCTTAAGCTTGGGTCGATCAATTTCCTGATTTCGTGGACTTCTCAGATAACCGGCAACAACATACGAGTTCATGACTTAACTGCGGACATGATGGACTTTACCGTCTGACTACTATGCTCACCTCTAGAGTTGCATGCGAAATTGATACCGAGTATATAGTACATGATGTAGTATGTTTGGGGGAAGTAGTGCACCCTCAACGACCAAGAGGGGGCAGGTTGGACATGGTCCGTCTCAACTTGGCGCCCTCTCCATCCACATCAGAGTTTACTGTCCCAATTCAAAGAAATTCTCCGCCAGGGGGAGGCGCTTAAAAAGTTCCCCTGCAATATTTTTCAGAAAGATGAGTCTGTGTGGGTCAAGAAATTGTGAAATTGTGTAAATATGGCCAAGAATTAAGTCTCTGTAGATTTAGGGGTACCCATCTGGGGGAAAAGCAGACAAAAATTGGATTGAAAATTTGTCAGAAGAGCCTAAAAAAGTGACGAGGGGTGTCATTTGAAAAATGGCTGCTGAGAAAACTTGGGAGCGTTCACTTTTTGGGGGGGTGAGTTTTTTGGGGCGAATAGTTAAGAAAAATTCATTGGGTAACCTACTAAAAATTTGAAAAGCAAATGAAATCTGAAGGACCAAACAACACATTGTTTTTTGTTTAAGAGGCCTCAGGGACTTCAATTGCCTGCCATGGGCCTCCAAACTTTGTTGATTTTACACTGTTTCCAATGGAGCTTGAATTAAGGTGGAAAGCTTGCGGTAGCACCATGCAAGGATACGATCTCTTTGAGAGTCTATATGGTTCTGAAAAGAACCGTGAGGAACTCAACGTTTCGGACAGTATGCTCTCTCCGTCGTCAGGAGACAGAAGAGATGACGATATGGAGTGGGGCTTATAAGCTGACTGGGAGTACTGGAGTGAGACGGATCCTACTGTGTAGTCAGGTGGAACGAGTATGCAGCTGGTGGATCCACCTGGGTACTGATGCATGTCAGTTGGTGATGGGCTGTGGCGGGGGAAGGTTGCCTGGTATAGGAGACCCATTTCTCTAATTCGTCTTGGGTACCATTGTTCGATGCTAGCGATGAGTTGGGCTTCTTCCCAGTGATGGTGTGGTCTTCGGCGTGGGAATGCTTGATGATGACTGACTTCTCATAGTCTCCCTTCCTGCCATGGGCTTTGTGCTCTTTGATCCTGGTAGGGAGGCCCCTACCAGTCTCTCCGATGTACACTTTGCCACACTGGCAGGGGATCTTGTATACACCTGGTCGGCGGTGTGGATCTTGCCTGTCCTTACGGGAAGCCAGCATCCCGTGGATCTTGAGGGGAGCTGTGTGGAACACCTTGATGTTGTGCTTGCTCAGGATACGCTGGATGTAGTAGGAGGTATGTCCTAGGTAGGGGAGAGTGACAGAACTAGGGGCTTTATCTAGTTGGCTTTGGGTATAGGGGACCCCACGGCCGGAAAGGGGATTTGATCTTGGGTCTTGATCAGTCTTGATCTGCTTGGGCTGGTATCCGTTGCGTTGGAGTGCCGTGGAGATGTGGTGGATTTCCTTGTGTAGGTGCTTTTGGTCGCCGATGTTGTAGGCTCGGCGGATGAGGGCTCTGTTGACCGATGAGTTGATTTTGGGGTGGTGGAAGGAGGCGCTGTTGAGGTATCGGTCGGTGTGGGTGGGCTTGCGATAAACCCTCTGGGCAAGACTTCCATCCTCCCTTCTGGACACCTCAACGTCAAGAAACAAAATGCTGCCATTCCTCTCTTGTTCCATGGTGAATTGGATGTTGCTGTGAAGCCCGTTGAGGTGGTCCAAGAAGAGTTGAAGGTTGTCTTGCCCGTGCTCCCAGATGACGAAGGTGTCGTCCACAGGCGGAGCCAGATCTTGGGGCGGTGGTCTGCGGTGGCAATGACGGTCTGCTCGAACTCTTCCATGAATATGTCAGCCAGAACCGGGGATATAGGGGATCCCATGGAGGTTCCAGCTGTTTGTTCATAGAATTTATCCCGCGACTGGAAGCTGGCAGAATCGACGCAGGTGGGGAGGAGGTCTTGAAGCTGGTTGGGGGTTAGGTCGGTGCGGTCCTTGAGGCTGGTGTCGGCCTGGAGTCGGTCACTCGCTACAGTGCTTGCGTCGGATGAACGGAGGTTAAGAGTGACACGACATCAAAGCTGACCATGATGTCGCCTGGCTTCAGCCGGAGGTCTTGGATGATGGACAAGAATTCATCTGAGTTCTTGATATGATGCTGGGAGTTGCCAACTAGAGGGCGAAGGATCTTGGCCAGGTGTCTTGCAGTGTTGTTGGTGGGCCCTCCTCTAGAAGCGACGATGGGGCGTAGTGGGGTTTCCTTCTTGTGTATCTTGGGCTGGCCGAAGAATCTTGGGCACCTGGAGTTGGATGGACGTAACTGTCGGTACAGCTGTTCTGTGATGTTCCCAGAGCGGTGGAGGGAGAGAAGTTTCTGTTGCAGCTTCCTCTCGATGGCTACCGTGGGGTCTATCCGAAGTTCACGGTAGCTGCCGGAATTGAGTATATCCATGATCTTTTGATCATACTCAACCCGGTCCATGACCACCGTGGCGTTGCCCTTGTCAGCAAGGAGGATGTGGATGGATTTGTCTTGGCAGAGGGACTTGATGGCTGAACGGTCTTCTCTGTTGGGTTTTGGCTTGTGGTTCTTATGTTTCCGGAGGGCTTGGCTGATGTCGACGAGGATCTCATCGGCGGTGGTCTTGTCTAGGCGGCGGAGAGTGGGCTCAGTGGCTTGAATGATCTCTTCCTTGGGCAGGGACCGGGGAATGAGCTTAAAGTTCAGGCCTAGGGCAAGAACTTTCTCCTCGCTAGAGGACAAGGAGCGCTTACTCATGTTGACCACGGTGTGCTTGGTGAGGGACTCCTTGGACTGAAGATGCCGACATGGAGTGGGCATCTCTTCAGTCTCGTGACGACGGACAGAGCATACTGTCCGAAACGTTAAGTTCCTCACGGTTCTTTTCAGAACCAGACAGACTCACAAAGAGATCGTATCCTTGCATGGTGCTACCGCTAGCTTTCCACCTTAGTTGTCTGTCACCATGAATAGCTTGAATTCCCATCGGAGCTTGAATTAGTTTAGTGCACCCTTTAAGGGTTGCAGACCACTAAATAAGCTGTCATAGACAACAGTGATAAATCTGGAAAATACTCACAAGTTTCACAGGTCACGGTGTTCAAGACACATATCACTCACAAGTTTCACAGGTGTTCAAGACACAAATCAAATTAAAGCTCACTTCCTCGTCTTTTATTTTTCTTTCAATTTTTAGTGGCTTAACAGATGACTTTTGAAGATATTGCTCTCCAGAGAAAATCACCCCTCAAAACAGTCATGGGACCATCGCCGTTTTGAAATTGATGCCTACACTCCATTGCAAAACAGAGTGATTTGGAGGGCCCGTTTGGTCCAATACTTTCAAAAATACAAGCTGACAGTCCTGCCCCTAGATTCCATCCTCCTTCTTAATAAACCACCTAGTCCATGTGCCACAAAATGCTCTAAGAGCAGAGAATTTGAATTTTGGACCTACAGTATTTACTGGCCTTCAACCTTAAAGTTTGGCACGTTTTAGCTTTCTTTGTACCGACGATTCTGACGGAAATTTTCACATTAATACTAGTAGACTTTTTCTAATTTTCTTTTTTTTTTCGGTAATTGAAATCATGTTGTATGCATTGTTAAAATCATATTCAACGAGAGTGGGTGATTACTACTTCCTTCAACTCAGTCGGTCGTGAGTGCAGTTGTTACGGGTCGATTCTCATGATATTTTGATAAACTTCTAAAAGCCACATGTGAAGGGTTAGAGATGAGAATTGTAGCTTGTTTGATATACTTTATGGGTTTTTATCAGTATATTTTCAGTTAATCTTAATCGATATTTTGATTGGCTTCAACCGTTCGATTATTTAATTGTTCCTAAAAACCTAGGGGATCTTGATAAAGTAAAAAAAACGAACAAATTGTATTTAATTTTTTATTTTTGTTGTTGTTTTGTTTTGTTTTGTTCTGTGAGACTTACTTAAGTATTTGTGAGCGACTTTTTTTGAAAAAAAACCCGCAAACTTTTTCCAGCTTCATAAACAAAACAAAATGACTACCTTTCTGTTCATATATTGATTGAGGAAGTTGTACAAAAGGCATCCTTAATACGGATTCTTTGTCAGCCCGTTCCAAGTTTACCCCCACCGAATACACAGTGACGATCAATCTGTATTGCCTGCAAACTTGACATTTTAGTCATAAATTGGATATATCCTAATTTAAAATAAAGATAATTTGGGGGATTAAAAGTCACGTTTGCACCCCAATGGCGTAAATTTGTGCCTCGGAAATCAGGAAGGGTGGGAGATGGGGAAAGCTGACTTGGCCGGCCATGGAAATTTGGAAAGGGCGGGTCCTGACACCATATTTTGGGGTGATGTACATATACATTTAAATACATTCATGCATAATGTAACATAAAAACGGCACATTTATGTTTTTATGGTTGTCCCTTTTGAGTGCTATTACATTTTAGTCATTGCTAAGTCCAAGAAATTCTTTACAATCCGCCTTAATGTTTTTTCTCACCACGGGGAGATCAATATCGCATCCCAAGTCAAAAGGAGTATACCTCCCGTCCCCGGAATACACCCATGGGCTTTTTACACACTTTTGGATGGATATTGGAGGATAAATGAAAGAGATCAAGAAAGTCTTTCTCTCATTATTTAAGAAATAATTGTGTGTTTGGAGGGGTCCTCTGTTTAAGGGGGGGGGGTCGTGACCCTTTCCCCCCGACAATACCCCCCCCAATCCCACCCCCTGATCCGCCCTTACTTCGCAATAAGGAATTCCTGTGCCAAGTTCTTAGACGACAGAAAGGGGATATTTCACGTATTAAGGACACGGAACCCGACTATACTTACTTTCACGAAAGGCTGAACATTAACGGTTCGTAATACTAGTCCGGGCCAAGTTGAAGGTTTTACCGGTAATTTTTCACACATCAACGTTTCACCGCGGGCACGCTCACAGCGCAGGTGGAGGTGACATTGTAACGTTGGGTGTATATGTACATATATGTTGTTTCGAACATCAGCTTTGCTTGGTCCAAGTTTCCTGATTCGAGTTCGGCTTGCAGTTGCACCATCAATAAAGCAGATCAGAAGAATGGCTGGTAAAGTTTTTCAGTTTCAGCGAGTGTCAATGTGTGACGTAGCCCCCCTACCCCCATTAACTGTGGGGTCCGACGTCCGCCTCGCTACCAGACCCCACAGTTCTGGGGGTAGTAGCCCCCCCCCCATGATTGCAATATTGTGGTAGACATGATCAGCCGATTCTGCCATGTTATCTTCAACTTAATTGCCTTTATTGAACATGTTGAAACATCTTTCACAATTGGGAATTATAACAAACGGCTACTGGCTGATGGTGCAGTCATCGACAAATCGTGCAGTAAGATTGACTGATTGCACTAACATTGAGCAATCACGCATATTGACCTTTCGCACCCCAAATAATTATTCAACATGATTGGATGATGATGGAAATAAATTGATATTGATGGTATGATTATTGACGGTGGATGTTACTGTTATTAATGATGTGTTCCACCATCACTGTGAGCATGGTGAAGTTTCATCAGATGGTTTCCTCATTTTAACCTTTTCTCAGAACTGACAACGGCTCAGGTGGAAGCTTTTAAGACAGAGTTCGAGGCAGACCCCAAGAACAAATTGGCACAGAATGTAGCTTGGAAGTTTGATCCCTTGGAGGTCTGTGTGGATCCCAGGCGACTTCAAGAGGCACACCATGCCTTCAGATACAAGGTCTGTAGTTTTCAAGCTTAAATTAATATTTCACATTTTTGGTAATTCTTCAGGTAAAAGAGCCATACTAATTGTCCCTTGCATTGCTTTTTCAGCTATCAGAAAGTGATAATATGTCCTAAAAAGCTAACTTTAGCAGAGACAGTTTTGAAGCACTAAATTAAAAAACACTTAGACTTTTTCAGACCAGTCTCATAGTGTTTGTGCACAGGGTGCCAAGTGATGTCTGTGTACGGAACTCTTTCCAGTTCTTCATATCAAGCGAGTGGAATGTCAGCACATGATAATCACGTTTCTTGCATTTGATGTTTCTTTCTATGAATCATTGAACAATTTCTGGGGTAAGTAAGAGTCTAACTTGCCCCAGTAATGGACCTAGCTACTGAGAATTGTCGCAAGTATTGTGAGTTTACTCCATCACCTGCATAACCACCTGTACAAAATAAGGGTTGGTTTTTATAGACTTTTCCATATATCCATAAACGGCTCCCTAGCGGGCTTACCATACAAATCAAAGAATTCTTGGAGGTCCACATTCTGTGTTCCATCTGATTTTAAAGAGCAATTCCACGTAATTTTTTGGTAAAATTCCACTGCAGACAAACCTTGACTGCAAATGTCCAGGAATGCCCGCATTGTTTTGTTTTGTTTTTTTCCTCATTAGCAGTAGATGGTAAATTGTGCCTGGGAACCAGAAATTAACTTGTAAAGCAGTCCGTATTTCAAGCACAAGTTAGAAAACATGAATTCTTGCTAAAACGCTCAGGTGACCAGGGAGCAGGCTGTACATGTAGAAGTAATCATTAATGTGTGTACATTTATATCCCCATGCAGTGGAGCAAAATACACGTATAACTTTGACAGAATCTCTTCATGTTCCATGCCACAGTTTGGACTTAGCTTGTCGGTATTGTCCTCAATTGGTTTGGTTTGATTCCGGCAGAACGATCAAGTAAGCCCCACTCACTACGCACATGGACACTTGGCAAGTGCTGTTCTCCAGTGCCACACTATGTGCTCCAGCCATGCACGTCATACGTGTGTGCACGCTTGTCAGACCTTTGTACATCCATGTCGGACATTAATCCCGGCTGTATTGGAAAACAATGGGGGTGGGGCTTAATGAATCAGTCTATTGCGAATTCTTGGGTCCCTTGTTTTGGAAATGGAAATTTCAAAGCTGGAACCGTGGGTAAAACTGTTCCTAAGCATTAGTCTGAATAATACCTAGATAAATAAGGCAGGAAAACCATCTTTTTCCACCAGATTCCAGACACCAAGCCAATGACAAACCAGAAGAACAGTGGTCGATGCTGGATCTTCGCCTGCCTGAACGTGGTGAGGGTCCCCTTCATGAAGAAACTCAACCTGGAAGACTTTGAGTTCAGCCAGTCATTTCTGTTCTTCTGGGACAAGGTGAAAATTTTATCTTCTTATTCAAGCATGCAACTTTTCCTCGGATCAGCTGATTTCCTCATTTTTCACTTCACACTCATGTCGTTGAAAATTGAAAAACACTGTACAAAGTCATGTAAGACTGGAATTTCCTGTTTTTGTCAAAGTTCAAGTTGCATACCTGCTTTTTTATTGCAAGTCGTAATTATGCAGCGGTAAGGGATTTTTTATTGCCAGAGTTATCATGAGACATCAAGACATAAGTTAAGATTTGGCACAGTTTCCGAATATTCACTCCTCATTTCATCATTTGTATTCTCCCTCGCCCCCCCCCCGTCACCCGTCCCCCAGGTCGAGAGGATGAACTACTTCCTCCACACCTTTGTAGACGTCTTCCGCCGTGGCGAGCCCGTGGAGGGCCGGCTGGTCAGCTTCCTGCTGCAGGACCCGACCTGCGACGGCGGCCAGTGGGACATGCTGATCAACCTGGTCAGCAAGTACGGTCTGGTGCCCAAGAAGTGTTTCCCGGAGTCACACACGTCCAACGCCTCACGGCGGATGAACCTCATCCTGAAAACCAAGGTGCGTTCCTCCCCTCAGTTTGGTACCTGAGATATCCCGGGCACTGCTTTGCACCTCACGGCGGATGAACCTTGCTCTGAACCCCAAGGTGCATCAATCCTCTCCGTCTAGGTCTAGGATTTCCTAGGTAAGGGCTCCCACTTGACAACAAAGATCCAACAGGTCGACTCTCCCCAAGGCCAAACGGCCTTGGAGTGTGTGGTTGCCAGTCACCACAGGATCCAATAGTGGCATGGTTGAGTGGGACTCAACTTTCGGCCGCTGTTGATTGCCCAATGCAACAAAGTGCACCAGACTTTAACAACCGTACTCCACTGCATCCGGCGGGGTAAGGGGTAATCTTCTGGTTCGGCACTGGGAGTATCCCACGTGATTGTATTCATACTTTCTGTCCCCCAGTGGACGAACCTCACCCTGCGAACCAAGCATTGCTTCGATCCCTTCGATCCAGAGCCTGGGAAATTCCGGGCGACAATTCTCACCTTACTGCAGGTGAAACTTAGGCTGAGGAGAACAGTTCAATGATCCTTTCTCGTACCTTCAGTGTAGGCACTGCTTTACACCCAAATGTTAAGGATGAAGTGTCAAGTGTTAAGAGATGTGCAGTTTTCCCCTGGCATCTGCTGTTGGCCACAGCTAACGGAAAGAGTGCCAAATCTTTCAAAGCATTTTACGAATGCAGGGAACTTTGAAATTAAACCTGACCCACTTGGTGCATTGTTGCTTGTGTAAGGTTAAAGGGATTGAATTGCTTTGATGAATGGTCGATGGATGTCTTGTGAATGGAATGTACGTTCTTATTTCCCTAGGTGCGGGGATATGCCAAAGAACTTCAATCAATGGTAAAGCGCAATGCCACCGATGCGGAGATCTACAAAGAAATCAACAAGATGGTTGGGGAGGTACATAACATTGCATTTCTTCCATCACTTTGTCCAATACGGGCAATTCACAATAAAATGAGCCACCAAGAGTTTGCCTAATAGACAGGCCACTTTTCAAGTTTGTGGTCGACACACTGCCACAATTAGGCAAACTACCCAACACGCATTGGCAAAAAGTACTTTCAAATATTCCACCAAGATAAACAAACATTCGGCAAATTTCAAGTTTTCCCCACTAGGCACAGTTAGCGAATGAGACATGTTGACTATTTATCCCATAATGCACTACGAAAGGGCCTCTCCATGACAACCTCTTGGTGGCGCACTGCATTGTGAGTTGCTGCTATTGTCATATTCTGCTTAGAAAAAAAGCAGTAAGGCTCGTATGACTGTGATTAATCCAACTCAGTTAAGTAACTTCTTCAAGCTCACTGGACAAAAGATCTACATCAGTTGCTTGCAGTGACTTGCGTGTATGTGATTTTTTTGTATTTTATGATTGGGTCTCCCATTTTGTCAATACAACATCTATATTCAAACTGTTATTCAAATTTCCCCTTTCCCACTGTGTAGGTTTACCGTATATGTGCAGTATGTTTGGGAACCCCTCCCTCGACTATCATGTGGGAATACCATGACAAGAACAAGGCCTACCACAAGATTGGACCGATCACCCCCAAGGCGTTCTACGAAGAATACGTCAAACCAGTCTACGATCTGGAGAATAAGGTAAGCTACTTACAATCAAGGGTTTCTCAAGGATGGCAAGTGGTCTTCACGTGTAGCTTGCAAGCATTAGAGAAACCTTAGGAGGGATGACTATGTGTATGACGAAGATCCCTGACACAAATTCAGTGGAAGACCTACCAAATCAGGTATGGGCTGGGAATCCAATCCCTCTGATCAACCTGGATGGGATTTGAACCCGCGTCACTGAAAAAGAAGGCCAGGAAAGTGCAACTTGAATTCCATAATTGACAGTGTCTTCCGAAATTTCCAGATAGATATTTAGAGCATTGCTTCACTTTGCAAAAAAATTCGACAAGATCTTCTCAGTGTTGCTCTGTATAATGATTGTCACATTAACCATATACAGACTGGGGGTTCCTTCCCGTGGAATCTTGCCACTACTCCCCAAATACATTGTCCTTTCATGACATGTTTTCTTTGAAATCTTGTGCAACTTTTGGGTTGCATGGCAATGAAGGGTCAAAGGTCATCTAGAAACTGCATTTTCTATAATGTGTGTTTAGAAATGAATGGAAGTGTCCAACAAACTTGTTGAAATGCATTTGTTGTGTCACCAAGTTGTACAATTTCAATGTCATTATGAATGTCATTGTGTCTGAATTATTAGCTGTGCTGCCGTTATTGTCTGCCCAGGGCAGCAAGGTCCCCACAGAGTTGTTGCGTACCTTGTTGCACTCAGCGATGTAAGTTTAAGGCCAGAATGTGTCGTGACAATTCATGTCTCTTGGATTCTGTTCTTCAAGGTCGCACCCCATTCGTGTGTCTAAAGCTCTTCGCCAGTTGCAGATTTATAAGCGCGTGCTGACCGTAGATGTTGCTACATGTTGTAAAACAATTTTTGGTCATAGTCTTTGTCCAGCTTCACTCTGCGTTGTCAATTTGACTTTATTCTTTGAGGTTTGCCTCGTCAACGATCCTCGACCGACCAGCCCCTTCGGCAGGGCACTGACCGTGGAGTTCCTGGGGAATATGGTCGGTGGACGCAAGACCATCTACAACAACCAGCCCGTGGATCTGCTCAAGAAATTCGCCGTGGAGATGATCAAGTCCGGAGAAGTAACTGTCCCTTAAAGATCAGATCTGGATTTCTCTGTCTTCATTTCTGATCCATGTAGTAATTTTTTCTTAAACAAGTGGGGGCCCTTTTTGACACCAGAATTCAAGTGCTATTTTTGACTGATTCCAAGGTAATGTTGTTGTCACATTAACCCACTCAGGTACTTTGCAACACCACAGGTGGCCAATCCATCCGTCTCGCATACATATGCCTTGCTTGATTTGCACACAAAACATTTTTATTTTTTCAAGATTGGGTATCCTTTTTCTTTCTGTTTCGTTTAGCCTGTGTGGTTTGGCTGCGACGTGGGCAAGCATTTCAGCGGCAAAACTGGACAATTAGATACCAATATGTAAGTGGCCAATTGATTTCTTGGGCAAAACCGTGCAAAAAATCAAGGAATACTGGCTTAGCAGGAGTTTAGGGGACACATTTTATCCATCTACAGACCTGACTTCATGCATATTCATTAGGACCTCTCAAAGCCTCCGACTTTGTACTGGTTGCTGACTTGCTGTATAACTTCAGGATGGTACTGTCCTGTAATCTGATTGGTGTAGTTTTACTCATACATATGCAAGACAGAGTGCCTGTAGATGCCCATGTTATTATTTGCATTAAGTTGACCTCTCATGAGGGGTAGTGTAAACGTAAAGATGCATTTGCCATTTTTTAAGTCTTGTTTGAAATGTATTTCTCCATTCCAGTCGAGCATACCTACCTCCTGAGGGTGAATAGAACATCCTGGTCAAAATGTCAAAGTCAACTCACATCACCGGTTCTTCTCAGAGCCACCACACTTCCTGAAGAGATTAATCCCACGTGGGTGTAACCCACAAACCTTTTAGTCTAGCCTCCACGATACAAAGTTCCAAATCTTACTTGTGCGTATATTTCTCACGGCCCGTTCTGGGATATTCTTGGTTTCCTGCAGATTGAACTTTGACCTCGTATTCGGCGTGTCCATGCTGGATCTGGGCAAGGCCGATCGTCTGATCTTTGGCGAATCTCTGATGACTCACGCCATGTCCCTCACAGGGGTCACCACCGAAGTAAGCCATCCCAGTTACCTGGCTGCTGCGGCACATAACATGCAGCAATACGGAAGCCGCTGGCTTACTGCTAGATCTATTTCCTATAGATACGTGTGTTATTGTCAGCCGCTGCTAAGACTCTCAAACACAGCCTCAGAAGTTCATTGACATTGGGCTGTACTGTTCCACAGCAGATACTAACGTCCCTGACTGTATAGTCGCCAGCAGTCAATTTCATGAAACGTGGCCTAAGTTTGAACCATGCGTAAGCCTTGCACCACAGACTTTTGCCATAGTTGTGCAATATACTTACGTTCCATTTCACAGAAAGTTGCGTAGCTGCGCCACCTTTAAACAGTATTGGATTTTTTGGACGAGGACAAAAATGGCCTTTTATGACGGCTGTTCCTTTCTAATGTAACAACAGTCATCAGTCGTTGAATCACCTCCGGCTGCCATTTTGAAAGAGTTTTCATCTTCTCTTCGTTAGAACTGGACAGAAAATCTCACATTTCTCTCACACACCAAACAAGTTTTTCATTACCTTCTACAAATGAAGTTGTATGTGTTTCATTTGAGCCTTGTTAAATTGTTCATTTTCACTTCGTTTAACGCAACTTGCACCACCTAAATGACCATGCAAGTTACACCATAATTTGTTGCGCAAGTCACGGACTTACATAGTTTCATAAAATTGCTCTAAAAAGGTTGCTTACACAATAAAATGTGTCATAAGTGGGGTTATGCCATTGCATAAAGTTTTGTGAAATCTGTTGCAGGTTCCTAATGTTGTCACTTTTTGTCAAATAAGATTGGTTCTCACGGTAACTGGCGAATAAGGGACCTGGTGACTACATGGTCACAGATGTTACTTGCACAACATTGTCAGTCTGTTTGTCTCATATTTGATCTGTTTTTGGTACCCAAGGAACAGAAGGAAGGTGACACTACGACTACCCGACCCACCAAATGGAGAGTGGAAAACTCCTGGGGTGAAGAGAGGGGGGACAAAGGTCAGTAGGGGTCAAAGGTTAATTGGCAAACATGCAAGTGGGTTTTACTCTGCTGTTTTTATCTTGGTAGGTTATGTGAGGAGTCTCACAATTAAACAGCCAGGCTCTAGGTTCATAAGAGAAGAACTCAAACTAAAACAAGGGTACCTTCAAGGTACCTAAAAGAACCCTGTTGAACCTTGTAAAGCCTCAGGGTTAGTGTCAGGTCACCACCTGTTAAATTAATTGCCTTCTCCATTGGAAAAAACCTGCATCCTCCATAGGATTTGGATTTCAGTCCTTGGCAAAGTGCAACAATTCAATTTAATTCCCTGGGTTTTCAGTCCACTCCGAAAAGGCATATTTCAGTTCTTCTCGCTTCAAAAATGGGATACCCTGGGTAAACAGCAGACAAACTAGGGTCTAGTTTTTCAGGGCTCTGTGATTTCTTGGTCGGTTCTCAGGCTACCTGCTGATGACGGACGACTGGTTCTCGGAGTTTGTCTACGAGGTGGTCGTGGACAAGAAGTTCGTCTCGGAGGAGGTGATGGGGGTCTTTGAGCAGAAGCCGCTGGTTCTACCCGCCTGGGATCCCATGGGGGCGCTAGCATAGGTATTCAACGGTCTTTAAAGCTGTCGGATTTGTTTTTCCCATGGCGGGGGAGGTGTGACTCCACCCCATACTCTCTTTAGCCTCTTTCCGTACTACTTTTTAGTACAATGGCATTTCAGAGATTTATACAATGGTAATTCCAAGAATTTTTCATCACTTAGTGAGCAAAACTTGCTCAAATTTTTCTCCATACAATACAAGTTCCGTGAAATTGTGACTCCAATCTTTTACCTCGTCAGTGTCCAAATTTTAAGTTTGCCATCATGCATTTTATGAATTGTATTACCAACAGTAGTTACTAGATCCAAGACGCATGCATCTATCGGGAATGTGGACCACACACCATATTTTTCAACTGCAATACAGACGTTTAGCTTGTTCATATGACACAAACTCACTTGGAGTGTTGTTGAATGAAAGTGTCCATCACTGACTGACCAAGCACTGAACTTTAGTACATGCGGATGCTTCATGCCAGGGTGAAAGGTTCTGTGTTGCTGGCATCTCCATGGTGTCAAAGAGGCTGTTTTCGCTGTTGTAATTTAATTACAACAAATGCATCAAAGGTTTACTCGAGCCTATCCTAGTGATACAAAGCTCTTGCCGTCTTGAGGACGCTTTACGCGTAACCTCTAGTATCACTGAGATTCGGTCATAAATCATGATTTTCAGAAAAGGCAAGCTAAAAATCCAGCCTAATTTGATAATGAAGTGGTATACTACGAGTGCGGTCTCCCGAGTCGTTATGTTTGCACAATAATTCTCTCCCATTTTGCTATCGGTATTTGCAACGAAGCAGGCTGTCTACACTGCCTAGTTTCAACACTCGGTCACCTGTACTGACACATATAAAACAAATAAGAAGTCTTGAATCACCCTAAACTGATAATGTGCACCAGCAGAGCATGGTAGCATTGCTGTCAACGCTGCCATAGGAAAGTTTTATGTTTAAAGCTGAAGTTGAACAATTATGTGCAAACAATCAGTACTCGACGTTCCCAGGACTCATAATGTGTTTTAATCAACAACCGGCTTTTACCTCGTATTGTTATTCAAGTTTTTAATCATTATCCTATGTGAGGTTTGTCTGAAGATTTTCCTAATGTAATAAGGAGAGATGTGTCACAGTAATTTAGATTTTGTAGTTTAGCGGAAATGTTTCAATAAATTTGTGATATGACAAATCAAGTACCTTTCATGTGTCACTTTCTTTTTATTGTATGTACACAACAGCCTTGGGACTACAATAAAATTTTGGAAAATTAAACGCATGGAAATCAAATTTCAAAATGAGTAATTTGTCAGCATGACGGGCGACATCAAAACAATAGAGTAGGTGATGTTCAGATTGGCAAAATTTAACCCTAATAAAAGGACAACTATTAGACTATGCAAGGACATCTGGCCCAAACCACAGTTCATCTCTCCACTGCCCCTAAAAAAAAATTGCAATATGGCTGGTAACTAGAATATAACAGAGCCTGATGTTTGATTTTTCAGGGATTAAATGATCCATGCTGAAGTCTGTATATGCTAAATTTTACAACTGATGGTACAAATGGTGTAACCTCAAGAAATATCAAAGAGACTGCAAAGTGCTAGTCCCTTGGACTTCATACATTTGGTCTTTTTATTTTTCACTTTTTTATAAGCGTGCATCTAGGGGCCTGCTGATGCTTTGAGATTTTCCTGTGTTTTTTTGCCTTTCAATCTGAATGTCTCCCAGGAAAGTTTGAATGAAATGCGACTGAAATCCAGCACCTGCGGGGTACTATTCCAGCACGCTACCAACAATGTTTTCTTATTTCTCATGCATTCCCCCCCCCCCGGGTTCTCTTTTCTTATACCTTAAGAGCAGGATACTGAGACTGCTGCCTTAGGATGATGTCACTCTTCACTTCATGAATATTCAAATTTCTGTCAACTTTTAAAATGGCTGCAGAAAGATTGAAAGTGAGAAACTGATGCATGACATGCATTTCAAACATTGTTTTGACGTAAGACAGTGGGCTCTTTGAGCATAAACTGGAACATTTTCCCCATTTCCGTGGCGAGAGGAAAGTTCTCCAATCATCTCAATCGGCTGGAGGTCATCGAGTCTGTGCTTCTTTCGGAGATCGTCGGGACGATGAGATCCTCCATGATGGAACGGAGCCAGTTATGTCCGTTGATCACCATGGTCGTGGCGATCACATACTCCATGGGTCCTAAGGTGGAGTGGAAAAGCCAATGACAATTTGTCTCCCCAAAATGGTGCCATACATATTTACAACGTCATGTTACAAACACTTCGATTTCGGTGGTCTTGAAAAATCGCAGGAAAAGTTTCTGACCACTTCAACATAAACATTAATCAAATGAAGTCTTGCAAACTGCATCACTAAAGTACACTTATGCGAGGTCAGAGGAAGCACACTGCGACACGGAAGGTGGCTTGCAACAGACTATTTCTGTAACACCTTTCATCAGTTAGGAAAACTCACAGTCCAGCAGGGCAAATTGTACTCGACGGCAGTGGCGTACGATATGGGTTTTTCACCCCTAGAGGACACACACGTGGCAGCCATATGGTTAACCATACAACTTTTCCCTGTGTAACAAATTAAATTTACCTTCGTCCTGGCTTGAGAGGAACCGCAGTGCGGCGATCTCGGCGTAGGTCACGCCCCCGAGGAAGAAGACCAGCGTCACCTTTTGGTTGTCGCCCTGACTGTCGCCTATCGTCCCTGGAGTTAGGAAAAGGAAACAGTCAAGAGATGAAGGAAGAATGCTGCCACAACAGCAGAGATTTTCAAATGGTTCAAGCTGTTTAGATGACTCCTTGAAAAAGCAAAATAAGAAGTAGTTTTCAACTGTCACTCTTCTACATTCTCTTGAACACTTGCACAATAGGCCACATGGAACAGAAGCAGTTAAAGCTTAAACATAAGTCCCTGGCTCCCTGCTGTATGTTGTAATACATGAAGCTATTGATCATGTTGATAACCAGGGATACAATCAAGCCCAGAAGGTCCAACCCACAAGCATAAATAAGACACAGTACTTTGATAATACTGATATTAATACTTTTTATATTAATGTTTGTTACCCCAGCAATGCCATCAAATAGGATGAATACCTTGGCTCGTCCTGTTGTCGCCCATACTTAGGCATAATTAGCAATAATTTTAAACTGAATACGCACAAATCTACCAAGTCCTCCCATGACATGCATGACTACACGGCAGTGTTGGTGTTCGAACACAAGCCCGGCTTCTCTTTTTGTCATTCTTGAGGGAGGACTTGTGCACGGAGTCTACAGTTCGAAAAACTTGTCCAACTACTGCTAACTACTGTATGTCTGACGCATTTAGTAGCTTAACCGTGCTCGAACATTCGTAACTGAACTTGCTTTGGGCTGAATTTCGAGGGGCTTTTACAAGTAAGCTGGAAATATTTGTTAGCAGGGGCTGAGCAAAATCTGGCAGGGAAATCATTCATCGATGAGTGCAAAGAGTATGACACCTTGGCTGGTAACCCACTTTGCTAAGCTAATGCTGTCAGTGTTAAGCAGATTTCTTCGCTTAGCACTGTGGACCCTGGCTTTGATTTGACTGTATTAAAAGTGGCTTACTCTTTTTCAGCAGGCCGTAGGGCACCTGCTGGGTCTCTTCCACTGTTGGTCCAGGCAGGAGCCTCAGCACCTCCTCAATACTGCGCCAGCCTGGCCGGGCGAGGCACTGGGCCAGCCGCACACTGAGCGGGGCATAGCCGCTGTACACGTAGGAGATGTCGTGGGGGTTCTGGGAACCAGACCGGAGAATGTATTTATTTGAATGAATGTATTGGCAAGACAAATGGATCCACTCTTTTGACAAGACTTTGTTGGGGATTCACACTGTAGTAAGGTAGCTTATTTATGCCGTGTCTGAAGGGGCTATGGCTATTCAGCATAGTGTGCTCATTGCAAAAGCCAAAGACATAGCCACACAGTGCCTTATTTGGAGAGTCTAACACTTCCTACGTATTTAAGGGGCCGTTCCAAATTTTTGATGTTTTAAATTTCATTTTTTTCAAATATGTTTTGACCCACCCACCCCCCCCATTTCGATTTAAAAAACCCTGATTTTTGCTCTTTCAATATTTTACAGTGCTCATGGTGGCGGCCATGTTGAATGCTGCGCTGCGACTGCACGTACAATTCGTATTACAACACTCCCTGATACAGTGTTTTGGCTCTTGTTTTATTGCATCTGTGACTGTTCTCCCATTAACTATGTGCATTCATTTTGTTTCAGCGCTCTCCTTTAAAGTAATTTCACGTCCAATTATCATTTCCCTGATGAAAACATGCAAAATATTGACGTGTGACTTTTTTTTGTAATATGCAGCGGCACATCGACTGCTTTCGTGGACTAGCCATCGCTTCAGTAGTCCAGTGACCTTCCAACAGAAAATTGGGTTTCAGTAACCCCTGAAAATTCATGCACTGAGACCTTGAATAAATAAATGTACTTGAAACTGAAAAATACAAATGTATAAAGGGCAATCTCATTTTGTCAACTAACTCGCGAAAATACTTCTAAAGTTTTTGATCATTTCTTGTTGTCGGGTTGTTGAAGATCGGTATATATCATTTTGTCACGGGAGTCACTGGCTCCCAGCCATTCCCTGTCATTCTCGCTATTTCTAGTGGTATGAACCAGTTTACCATGCAAGCTTCTCCTCGTGTGCTTTTACCACAAACTTGAGCAATGCAACTTGCTTCACGTTTGCATAAAGGTACGTACTTGCGGCCGTTTTATTTTTGATTCTATGCACCTTCACCTACGCAAATATTTATGAAAAAAATCATACAATTTTACATGATGCATACATGTGTTTGCCGTCAGATTAAGCCAAGTATGCTGCACAGTGTGGGTGCACCTACCTAGCCTGTGCATTGGTTTTAGGTACGTGATTACATTGGTTTTCTGCATTGCTCAAATAATGCTCAAAACAAGGGCTTCCACAGCTACGGCAAGGTCGATTGTCTGCGCTTCTCTATATATTTCCAAGGGAGTGGAGACATAGACCTAGCTCTAGACAAGAGATTTGGATGCAGCCAACAAGTCCAATGAAAAACCACCTTCACCCATGGAGTTTCACACCATATACGATACATGTGCACCAGTCTGTCACAAGAGGGCATTGTTTATTTCTTCTGCATTAATATCTATGCTATACAGTTGGTTCACCCAGCCATAGAAATGCTATACAGTTGGTTCACCCAGCCATAGAAATGCCTAGGTTATATGTAAACAAGGCTGGAGGCGTTGTTTGTGTTTTTCCAAAAAAGGCATTGGTGCCAAGTTGGTAAAAGAAACAGCTTTTTACGTAATATATATGGAGAATGTGGCGGGGTTCCTTGTGGCAAGAAAGGGCGAATAGATCTGAGATTCTCGATGGGAGAGCATCTGCAGGTTGTGCGATAGCACCAGAGTGAGCCATAGCTCCATTGTCAGGGGAAAAATTTAAGGTTTTCCCAGTCCTCCGGTGATAGCCAAAGACAACGCTAGCTGAATAATTTGAAACGAGCTGATTTGATTTCTGAGTCAAGAATTCGCCATTTCAAGCCAGGGATTTTGGTAAGACTTCGTCCTCAAATAGTACTGCAAGTTTATATTAATTGCTATAAATTATGTGTTCTGATAAATACCCATCGTTGCTATTCTCTGCATGAATGTCAGGAGGCTGGGAATAATTTAGTTTCTGCCTATGTAATCATGATGACGAGTAGATCCTCCGATATTCCGTTGTGCCCCATGATACTGGACTTACGCAAACGATCTGCCTAGATTTGTCTATTTGTAAGTTCTCTTGATATGGAATTGTCCACGTATGCGTTCGGTATGGAATGATCAGACACCGTGAAATTTGCTCCCTAAACTTGGTTTATTAGCTGTATCAGATCTACGGGTTTTTTTAAATGACTTAGTGGATTATTTTCAGGGCTTCCTCTTTTTTTGCGGAGAGCTCGGTACTTGAGCAAAGGTGGAGGTACGAGGTTTGTTGCAGTCACCCGCCCTCATCGGGGACGGCCACCGGGAGGGTTGACTACGCCCGCCTTGGGAGACAAGCTACCGTGGGGGACAAGCTGAAAGAAAACTACGTGGGGGACGGGTTCAAGACTGCCAGGGTCAACCTCCTCTGCAAATCGTCTGAAACGCCTCCACCGAGTAACAATTTCGGATTGAGTTTTTGAGGCCGTATTTTTGACACCTCAAATTGCAAATTGAATGTCTGAGGGCACTGTGAGTATTTCTAAATACTTGTAGATAGTATAAATAAATTACTGCGTGCTGGGTAAATAGAAATTGGGAATTTTGTAAAGTTTTTTTTTTGTCAGTTGCATGGCTCGATTTAACATAAGTAGACTAAAAAGGGAAACTAAAGAACTCGGTCTGTGACACAGTCATTCTATCCGTAACTTGGGATGAAGTCTGAAAAGACCGCACTTACAGAACGCTCACATGGCATGCGTAGTTGACGCAAATAAAAAACCTGATTTCTTTCCTTGTTTTATATGAAAAGTGAATTTCAATTTTGAAAAAATTCACCTTGACCTTCCCACCCACTATTTTTGAAAAAAAAAATCGACATTCAAATTAAAACCATCGATAATTTTAAATGGCCCCTAACCTGGGGTGAATTATTCTGTGAAGTGCATACCAGCTGTGTCATATCTGTGGGGATTCTGAAGAAAAGGTATCAAGATGATCCAATCCATTTTGGGGGGAGAATATGTAATGTTTATTCTCTGGCTGAACTGTCAGGCTTTGCATCTTATAGTCGTTATGTTAGCCATTTTAGTGGAGAAATCCTATAAATCTGGGATCCAAAAGTGTGGTTTTGGTGTCCCTGTCACACCTGACCTGTGCAATTTAACAAGGAAATACCACTGAAATTGACCTAAAACTGTTGTTATTTGTTGGCAGGTTATCTGCATTGCTTAATCAAACTTGGAAATTAAACAATATGTTCTGAACTTTAAATAATCACATGCCAGATGTGACAGGGACACACACAAACATTGGACCCCAAATTTTGTACTCCCAGTTTGACCCTGAACACAGTTAGATATCAGTGACGACTTGTATTTGCCAAGTGCTACGCACCGGATGACTGATACCCTGCTTTTGGTCGGTAACCACATTTCTTTTGACTGAAGCATTACTAACACTATCATTTCAAGCCTTAGGCTTTTTGTTTCCAACGGAAATCTTCTCAATGGGGGAAACTGCTTTAATTAGGATAAACAGTTGGTCCTTGCAGAATCGGATTTGTAACGAACGTTCTATCTAGAGCATGATATAAAGAAGGGCTGCAAATGTATTTCGTCGGTGCTTACCTGTTCGTTGACGTCTTCCACAACCAGCCTCAGCGTCTTCCTGATGGTGCCGTACGTCTTCTGGCCTTGTACCTTCAACAGACCCACCTTCTCCAAGTTGTTGAGCGACACTATGTGCTCAAAGCCGTAAGTCTGTTGTCGGAAAAGTGAGAAGTCATTCATGATGCATCATCACGAACCAGAAGCTGAACATGCCAGCACATCATTATGGGTAACGTTACTGGTTGAGAGTTTGGTTCTGGCGCTGTCCTAGCAACGAGTTTTAAAGCTTTACAATCCCCGTGTTCAAAGAAATGATTAAGCAAACCACAATGGGCAATGCTGGGTTTGCTTTCGGTCAACATGAAGCTGAAACTAAATTGAAATTGACTGAAGCACGATTTTTAATTTGCAACATCTGAAACAGTCCGTTGGTGACCACAAACGTGACTCTTTGCTTGGCTGAGAATCAAACTGTAGGACTGAGGTGACACCAACTCTCCAAGATCTGTCTTTTTGAGCTGGGAAAGATGTGCCCAAGATAATTTTGACACAAGGCAACGTGAGGAGGGACTCCTCAAAGTGTACAACACTGGACAATATCTGATAACACCTGGTGCTGGGCACGGTAAGTCTCTTTTGCCAAAAGGGGAAGGGGCACAAATTTGATGACAAGAACCAATAATTTTGCTGATGATAGCAAATGGGGGGTGTTACACCTAACCTGCCCCCCCATGCAACGCCGTCCTTCAATAATGACATTGAAGCCCACCTGTATGATTTCTCTCTTGTAGAAGTCAAGTATTTTGGGCTTAAAACCGTTGTTGGTGACCGACTGCATGCAGAGGAGGCGCAACACCTGAAATAGAAATCAAACCGTTTGGGGGAAATCTAATGATACAATGTTGCCATCTAAACATAACCTGAAACACAATATATGAAGGGTTTTTTCTACCCCTGCCCCTGCCTCTGGCCTCCAACTTTAATTCAACAAAGTTCTGCCCTTTGGACTCTGCCCCCAGGTCAAGGAAAATCCATTTTTGTCTACAAAGGTAACACAGAAAATAGTCTAATGCAACGGCAAAGTCTAAAACAATTTTTATCTGACTTTAATGATAAGACTTAAAAACTAAATCAGGGGTCGGACAGGTAACCACGGTCAGAGACGAAGCCGAGATTCCGAATCGGCTTAGTGCAGTGTGTCACGCCGTGTATGTGTATGCCAAAAAAGATGGAGAAGTATGCCACAAAGTGTACAGTGTTGCCAGAGTTTGACAGCGCAGTAGTCCGTAATCAGCCAGAGATGAGCTAACAGTCATTCTTGAAGTAACTCCCAGACTAATCTTCACCTTGATCAGCGGTTCTCTCTTGGCGATGCATTCCTCGATGTAGTTGTTCACTTTGTCTGTGTCTACGCCATTCATGAACTCTACGCGGAAATTGAAGAAAAAAATTAATCACGACAAGTGTACGATTTGACTGACACGACAATATATCAGTTTGAGAAAAAGCAGGCGTGCATGCTCGACTCACATACCAAGTGTGGACATTCCTTGTTTTCCTGAAGTTAAGAAAACTTGGGGTGACTTGTTATTTTTTTTTCCTCCCACTATGGTAACTACCCTTAGCTGGATTTCCGATGATTTCCTTGTCAGTTTCTTTGCATTATGGCACGAATTACCCTGACCCTAGCTCTGAAACTGTCTTTCTGTGTGAGTTTACACGACATGTGCAAGTTTACATGACGTCTTCTAACCCAATGTACATCATGTGGAAGTCTTTTGTTTGGAGGTCCACACTTGGTATGTAGTAAAGGTGTGTACATTGTTTGTGTGCACGATGCGTTCATGCGTTTCACTGTCACGGTCACAAAAGTTGACTCCATTAATACAACACGCGTATGTGCGTTCGACGGTCAAAATTGCACTGGGAGCAGTTCTGACGGATGCGCAACAGTTGGCGCAAATGGAAAGGCACCTTAAAACACTCCTCAGTCCTCCAACAGGTGAAGGATTGAGGAGGGTTAGGGTTAAGACTGTCCCACGACTTGCCTTCATAACCTTGCGATAGACAAGTGTGAGAGAATCTACTGGGGAACTGTTAGCAGTAATTCTCACCCTGCTGTGTTTGGAGTGAGTCCATGAAGGACTCTAGATCTGTCCGTTCCTTGACCAGTTCAGCAATGGAGGTGTCTGGGGATTTTGAAAAGCACAAACAAGAACTGAAGCTGCCAAGTACATGTACATACACATTAATGACAATTTTCAAAACTATAAATAGCAAATACGGTAGAATTTAGACACTTTCCAAACTGTAATTCAGATATCATTTCTTTAATGAAATTAGGCCACGGATAATGAAATAGGTTTTCCAAACCTGGTACTTAATTTTTTCAAAATGGATTTAGAATGTAATACGTGTCTTTTAAATTACTATAAAGTACAATGAATACATAGATATTCATAAATGTATTTCTAAATAATATTCAACAGAAGAAAAGTTCCTCAAAGTAATTTCAGCGGCTACTCAAGTCCATTGTTTGCCTTGTGTTTGGTGTTTTGTTGCAAGAATGTGACTTGTTTTTTTAATATGCAGAGTCTGGATTTGCGGGGGGGTCTTATGCACACTAAAATTATTATTATTTTGAGCAAAAAACTTAGGAAAGGTGGAGTTTCTTACGAGTTGCAAGGGAGGCCTTGGCAGCCTGTATGTGGGGCAGCTTGGAGACAAACTGTTTGATGTCGCGCACCGTCTTGGCATCTTTACGTTCCTAGGACGACAAGCAGAATCATAAAAAGCATTTTTGCAATCTCAAAAATCTGTCGTGAACGCAAAATTTGTGACAACCACATAGGGAAAGGAGCGCCCACTGGTTTTTCTGGCCAATTGCCCCTCCACAAAAGTTGATCAGTGATGCCTTTAAAGGGACTGTGCAATACAATTATTTCACTAAAACCCTGAAACTGATGACTTCAGAAACTCCATTTTGAAAAAATTAGGTTGCAAGGAGAAAAATAAAGCTGAGTACTTTTCTCTAAAAACTTGCTTTTTATTGGGCAGTGATGGTCTGAAGTCATCCTTTTTTTCTACAATCTTACCTTTGGGCATTTACCGTCCACCATCCATGTTTTCCAGCTTTGTTCCTTCCTAACCTGTTTGGAAGCACTTTTGGTACTTGAAATGTTCTCGACTACGATACCTGTCAAAAACAACAAATCGGCCAAGCTTACCTCGTACTGCGCCGAGAGTATCTTGGCCTTCTTGCTGAGCTCCGGCCCCACGGCGTTGAAGTTCTTGTCGCGGATGACGGCAAACAGTTCGTCGGAGGAGTTGAGCTGGATCTTCTTGGGCTCTGTGGGCAGCTCCGGCTGGGGCTCATTCTCGTTCTTCCGAACAAACTTCTCAGGAGGAAGTTTCACTGTGGCTGTGAGATGGAAAGTGGATTTTTTTTTTAGTTGAGGATATTTAAATTGCACCGATCAACCACAAACAGACTTGTCCAGTTCTTACAACGGTAAACTTCTTCAAAGTTGGTAGCTTCACTTCAGTGGAAGGACTACATGTACACTGCGTGGCAGTAAAGTGTCGAAAGTAAAGCAGAAACTAAAGTTTGAGCAAGATTCCCAGGATGAAACAGGAAAAGCTTTTCCACTCACTGTTGTGTATGCCGTAGATCTCGTCAATCAGGCCCTCATAGGTCAGCTGGGTGGCCAGCGGGGTCAAGAGGTCCACTGTGCGGTCAACCAGCAGGAGGGTGTCAATCTGGGGCGGGACCTGGCGCTCGTTGCCGGCCATCTCCCGCCGCATTCGCAGGATAATATCTGCCACGTGCTGTTCGTATGTTGATACACAAAATGTTTACTACGCACCACAAAGGAAACAAATCTGCTTGCTGGGACTGCATCTTTACAAAAATTTCAAAATTGAACTTTTTATCTTTTAATGTTCAAAACTGTGACTGCAAAATGAGGTGGAGAAAAGGATATAAATGAGATCAAATAACATTCCAAGATCACTTTTGTTAAGGACTTTATGAATGAAGACAAATTGTGTCAACAAAACCAGCTCAAAAGCATATCATGAATTCAGTCATGATTTCCCAGTGACATACATACGTTGAATGCCACAAGTGACAAATTCAACCCTGACTCCAAAAATACTTTCACCAGGAACCTTAGCTTCCCCAATTCATCCAAAAAAACATCCATGGCACCGGGATCCAACGATTTGTTCTCTGAACTTCAATTATGCAAAGTTTTGCCAAAGACCAGAGTGGATTCGGAAGACTCTAGGTGTGGGATGATTCAGGTTTATCAATGCCACCTATTGCTACGCACACACACAGGTCGGCCATAATGAATTGAAACTGAGGTCAATTGTTTAGTTTGGGAATCTGAGAGAAAGGAAAGCAAAGATAAAAGTTCATCACAAATTAATGTCATTTATGCTGATGAATAATTTCAAATTTGTGATTAATCATTTCCAAATGGTTAAAGCCACATTTCAAAGAAAACGAAAGTGAGGCACGCAACTCAAAATAGTCTGGCAACCAATATTAAACAGATTACAGTGAATAGGAGATTCAGGAAACATGGTCAAAACTTTTTCCAAAATTTGCCAAAGCCTACGGACGGAGCGGAAAGTTAGGCCCGGAGGAACAACTCCAGCGATTTGCTTCACCGTGCCAATTCTCCTCACCTTGGACAATGGCCCCTTGCCATAGATCTTGGGTATGACACCATATAGGGCCTGAATCTTCATCAGTGCCTTAGCCACATAGAACATTGTCGTCAAGTCATTCTGCAAGCAGCATTCCTGTCAACAGGGCAAGTTCAGGGATCAAAGATGTTCCTTACAAGTTTCCAACTTTGTCAGCAAGCCAGTGGACCTACTCCTCAATGGGAAATCAATTTTCACGGTCTCATATCTCACTACTATCGCCTGTACTTGACCCAATTTCCCCCTAATAAACAAAACACACTATAAATAAGGGCAAACTAACATTGGCGATAAGATGCTAAAGATTCCAGAAGAAACACAGAAGCATATGCAGTCATTTAAATCCCTATGGAAGGCGAAAAGTGTCAGTACGCATGAGTGTTCTCATTTGTGGCCAAAGTGGTTAGAAATGTACAACGTGGTAATGTCAAAAGTGACTGCAGAAAGCAAGCATGCAAACAGTGTTTTCTTAAGATATGACAACTGAAGGTTTTTAAAAATCCACCTAGCGGATGTTAACCCTCCTTTGGTTTTACAGCACAAATATGCACGAGTGCCCAACAGTCACTCTTGTGCATGTATTTTCTATGTGGAACTCAAACATGCACAGGTCCAGTGTGTACACAGTAGATTGCCAGCACAAAATGACCCAGGGTCATTTGTGCCGTCCTCTTCACTGCATTTGGTTTACTGCACAATTATGCACATGAAACAAAGTTGTTGGGCAGCACAAAAGTGCAATCTGATATTCCTGTGAGGGACTGTTGGTGCAGTGCACAACACAACACAGCTGTGCTTCTTTGAGGTGTTTACCAAGTGACCCAAAGAGTGACTTCAGCATAGGAGGGTTAATACAAGATTACAGGTCCAGCGGTTGCGACATCATCCACGGTAAGCAGGAGGAAGCGTTGGTTTCCAATCCCACTCAACAAAAAGCCTGATCACAAAATGCTTCTGGAGAAGGCAAAACGCAACATGCAAAACTGATCCCACCTTGAACGATTGTTCCATTTCCATGGAGAGCACATCGCTGTCAAAGGGTAGCAAGTCAAGGGTGTACTCCCCCACGGTGGTGAGCGTGCCGTAAACACCAAGTTCCTGTGTCAAAAGAATACACCAACATTACAAGAGGCATTCCAGTTGCTGCTACTATGGGGATGTCTCTTATTTCGAATAAAATCTGCTGTATACCTAACAAAAGAGAAGTAATCTTGCGATGCAGAAGTATCAGGTTGGTTTGTCTTATCTGTTACTTTTTACTACACTTGAAATCTGACAGTGATGAAGCCTTAAGTTTTGGCACACATTGTTCCCCCATCCTAGAACGTTTAGCTTAAGAATTAACTTCTTGTTCACAACCTTTCCAAAGTTATTCATTTCCCAGCCATTTTCAAGATCTGCAGTGTACCTGTAACGGACACAAGCAGTGTTGTTTGCACTGAAATGTTTTCCCCACTCTTCAAATTAAACTCTCAACAAGTAAGACCCTTCAAAAGTAAGAGCCCTAAAAGTCCAGGTTTTTTTGAGGGGTCTTTACTGAAAAAAAATCTGAATTCAGACGGTAAGTATTTGCAAACTACCCTTTGCAAACCGCAATGTGCCTAATTTTGGAATTATTGGGGCCCCAAAAGAATGCGTTTTGTGTATTTTTGGGGGGGGAGGGAGATGGGGGGGTTAACGGAAATGAAATTGGATATCGTACATTAGCATACTGGGTAATTTGGTGCACACTGACCATGTTGCAGTTAAGTCCAACACAAGCCTAGTCACAAGTACATCACATAACAAAGGAAAGCTTCTGTCTCCATTCCTTTTGAGGAATCCCCCACCCTTTTTCCCGTCCTGGCTCCGCCTATCCTGTTCTCCCTCGGGGAAACCTACCGTCAGCTTCCTCTCACACAGCAGGCTCCTCCTGGGCACGAAAAAGATGTGGAACTCCATGTGGAAGCGGCCAGCCGCCTCCTCCGTCCGCCGGATGGCGTCGGCCACCACCTCCATCAGCTCCAGCCGCGGCCGGACGATGAAGATGATGTTCTGGATGATCATGCTCCCCGGACCCGAGCCGGCCGCGATGGGCAGGCGGCCGGGCCGCAGCGGGAACATCTTGTCCACCTCATGTTCCTGTGCAAACCAGAGAGACCACGTCAGCATCGGCAACAAAGCAGCACCAATTCCAATCTGAAATTGGACCTTTTAAAAGACCACAGTAACAACCACCAGCAGCCAGTCACTGATTTGCTTACTGTCCAAATTTGCTTAGCCTGAAAGTGTTTGTTTAGGCATATTGCTCTTGGTCAACAGGTGATAACCAACTGCCGAGAAAGATTCTTTTAAGGGCTGTCCACGAAACTGAGCCAAGAAATGACATCTCCATAGCAGCAACTTCAAAAAACTGTACAGATTTGAAAATCTTTGGCTATGCCGATATCAGGTGTTTTGGTTTTTCAATAGCATGTTACACACACTTGTAACCATACACAATGCCGGAGGTGGCTAGAGCCTGATAATAGGGTTGAGGCATCTATCTGTAAATATCAAAGACAACAAATTAAGTCAAAAGGTCTGGAAATGTTAGGTTTAATTCAAGGCTGCTGTCTTGAATCTTTTAAAACCTGAATGCACTCAATCGTCTCATTTCAAGTTTATGCTCACACACACCAGTGGACTGGGGATAAAATAATACCTTCAACAGTGAGTACTCAGCTATGAGGCCAAATGGACCGGTCAAGTGGTCATCCCATACCACAGCCTACAGAGCAAAGAAGAAATTTCTTGAAGTTTTTATACTAGTAATACAAGTGCTGATATAGTGCAATGCCATTATTGATCATTGCGCTTTACAGGATAAAATGCACAAGTTAGCAAACACAAACTTGTTTCAAATGTTTGCTTTCCACCTCCCCCTCCAAAAAAAAAATTCCTCCCCCCAAATAACTTTTGCAATGATATCTGGCGTTTTGACTTGAGTGGCATTTGGACGACTTTATTGTCAAGTGCTCTTGTACGAAATAGGGCACAGTTATAACTTACGTGTACTTTCAAAGTTGTCACATTCTGTTTTTCTTTACTTTCTTTCAAATTCAAACTAAGACATAGACTTGTATTCGAGTCACAAAACATCAAGTCACATCTCTCAAGTCCCAAGTCATCCAGGTTGAGTCCAAGTCCCAAGTCACATTTTTTCACCACAGCTTTTCTTTGATTGAATGAACTGGAAACATGCATATGTACGTCAAATAAACCATGGAAAATAAAATATAAAAAAAGTCTTTTGATTATGATCTGTATGTCCTGTCCTTTCTATATTTAACAAAAAAATAAACTTCGACAAATAAGGGGCTCAGGGCAGGCCACTTTTGGAGTGGATGCCATCATCGATCTTCGTGCTTTAACGTACACACAGACCGTACTGACGTCAGATCGTCAAACCTGTAACCAGCTGCAACTGAGATTCTACGAACAGCAGTACACGTTATTCAGCGATTTTACTTGGCAGGGCACCAGTCTGCGTCCGACAAGAATAGTCTGATACCAAATACATCATCGTGTATCGAATACTGGTGCATCATTTACGCAGTATCAAGTTTGGTCAGCAGGGTACATGTTTCGGTACATCGATTTCCCTAATCAATATACATGCATCAACCACGTGTGCACCACAGTCGCTGCATCAAGTGCTGTTTTGCTCAGTGAAAACACAATGCAACAATATAATTGCTGCTGAGTCACAAGTCATGCAGGTCGAGTCCGAGTCATTTGTCAAAGTGGCTTGAGTCTGATTCCAAGTCATTAAAATGTGATTCGAGTCAGACTCCAGTCCGAGTCACAAGTCATATAAGTCTGCTGTGACATCAGCCTTTTCTTTTTTTCTCAAATTCAAACTGAGACATCAGACTTGGTTAGACCAAGATCCGACTTGAGGACACTTTCATTCATCTTTGCTGAACTGCCTCATGAAAACTTGGAGAATTTTGATGGCGGACGATCAGTAATATAAACATCAACTCACACTGCCAAGGTTTTGATCATATCTGGTGAGGCTATGGATACATGGAAATGCTGTCTCAATATAATATATATCGGGGCTTTCAGTACAGAGCATAAGAGTCTCAAAACGAAAATAATGAGAACATGCAATACAACAAAATACGTACATGTATATTAGGTCATGCAATAGCAACCTTTCAATATCAATGACTATCATCAAGGCCCTGCACAATACTAACCACTGTTTTTACACACTTCTCTGATAGTTATGCCGATGGCACAATGAACACTGGTCAGTTTTTTCAAAATTCAGGCCATGTGTCAGTCTAGTCTGAAGGTAGCAACTTTTTAAACTCAAGTAGGGCCTAGACCTAAGTTGAGTGAACCACAAGTTGAATACACTCTCAAGTAAAAATGCTGCATGAGAGTGCAAGAAAAAGTGAAAACTGGTTGGGAAAAACCCTGAGAACCCTGGCAATTTTGGAATCTAGGGGGTCTTCAGTTCAGCTGGCACATGCCTGACCTTCTTTTTAGCACAATTTTTAAGGTGAGGCTGTGAAAAACGACGTGACAATGCATCCGCATTTTCCCTGCTTGAAAAAAGCCAACAACATAACATTAACTACTACTAAAATCGAACCAATTCAAAACAATATGACCCCGCCCCCTTTTTGTTTAACGAACTCAAGGAAACCTGACCACTCCAGTCGTTAATACAGAATAGGCGCTAGGCCCTAGCCAGATAAATGGAGTTTTCCAAATTAATTCACCATAGTTATTTCAGCAAGCTATACTTGCATGGTCCTTACTTTACTCCCGACGCACTTGTCCAGACATTCAAGCAATTCCCTTCTTGCCACCTCCCTCCAAACGGCCAAATTTATACGACCACCGCTCAAATGAGCAGCCATCTTTTCTGCACTCACTTTTCCTTTTCTCGAGACCTCCTTTTCTCGTGACAATACAGATTAGTCTGTTATCTCAACCATTGCCGCTTTGATCCGTTGCACAGCGTTACCGGGAGTCAGGGAACACATGCATTAAGTTTGAGGGGTGAATTATGTGACCATTGGAGGGCGCCAGATCCACCGTAAATAACCCAGAGATAATGATAAACGCTGAGGAATAACCTACGGCAACAGTGCGCGCAGTATTCATTACTCAAAAAAAAAAAAAAAAAAAAACGGGCAAAATAGCTGAAGCCCTTATAATAGTGCTTTACATACCACACTGTATGCAGTAAATTAGAGCCTTATTCATTTTTCTAGATGATTGTTTGGCACTGGTGCGATTTTTTTTGGGGGGAGGGTACGTAGGAGCGGAAAAATTTTCCACGAAAGACAGGGTACACTGTGTCTTATATTAAGGGGGGGGGATACAACCCCTGTTCGGCAAGAGCGGGATCCAGGGAGACAACAGGGGCCATGCAGCAAGCCCCCTAAAGGAAGGAACCCCCCTTTCTTTGAAAAAATAACAAGAGAAAGGTGATTTGCCTCGATGTGTTTCATTTTTCGTTTGTCAAAAAGCGTGTAAAACGCCCTAAAATGTAGCCTCACCCCTCACTAAGGCCATAAAAAGTTATATGGAAAACAATCCACCCCCAACTTGGTTCTTGAACCGTCTTTGCCATTTAGCCGACTGTAGTGTTATAACCTAAGTTAACTTGGGCCAAAATTATCAATGGAATACATTAAACTATTTTCAAATTGTGCAAGGATACAGACAAAACATTTTCGAAAGTGATATCTTCTAGTGGTGTATCTCACCGCGGTGAGATAGCTCTTTGAAACAAAATCCTGGGTCGCGACCCTCCTACGATTCCGTACATTTTAATATATTTCGTGAATATACGTGCAACTACGGAGGAAGGAACACCAATGGTACAGAAGAAGCTCGTCAAATAGACCACAGGATCTGTCGGCATTCATTTCATTGCCCCACCAGCTCCCTATTCCTACCGCCGGGGGGGTCCCTGTTTCCTGAAGGTCAGATCTGCTCCAGGACACGAATTACGCTGCGACTGACAAGGACCACTGGGCCTGGCCGGCTGTTTTGGGAAGTAAATACATGTATAAATTGGGGGAAATTTTACACCATGAAAAGTCGCGCAGGCTTACAAAAGAACATTTTCACTTACTTTATAGAATGGAACAAGATGTATCAAATAAAGGGTGATAAGAGAGGGCAAAGGGCAGTGGTGGGACGTGACTACAGGAGGGGGAACGGGGACAAGTGCCCCCAGCGAATGCCCGTGCCCTGGGTGCCCCCCCCCCATTTGAAATCCATGCTCCATGGTTCTAGCCATTTTGAAGCAGCGTTCGAAACCACCGTGTTCAAGCTCTGACTAGAACCAGTACTAGTGAAACCGACATCTAAGCCGAATCCACTCGTTTCGAAAACGCTCTTTAGCGTAACCATATCGGTGTCCAAAGATCTTATACGGCGCTACGATCTTTGTTGATGACTCACAGAATTACAGGTGATACTGAACATTATTGTTGATGCAGTATTGGACACAATAAGGGTTGTGATCGCACTGTGAATCAGCATAAGCGAATAGTCCCCCAAATAAGCAACAACTGTTATATTTTTGTTTCAGGATTCCGGAAGATCCCTTGGGTACGATTTTGATTGGTGCAGCGGCTTTTCTTGTTGGTGGGCTACTTTTGCCACCACACTTCTTCACTTCAGAAATCTACGATTATGGCAAAGGCCATCCGATTGTGAATGCTATGAATATTCATGAGTCACTTGTCAACCAAACAACCAGCCTAGGTACGAAGCAGAATTAGAGTTTAAAAAAAATTGGAACTGTTTTTTTTTTAAATTAAACAGTAACGTTACTTAATAGCCCCATAAATAATGCTGATATGCTGGACAACCTGTTCTCATTGGTCTATCCGCCATGGTTACACACCCACAAAAACCAACATGGCATATTTTCTGAAACTTAAACCAAGTGGTAATTGCCCCCTAACAATACATTTAATAAACAGTTTCTTATCCACAGCACTGTCTAGTATTTCTGGATGGATTTCAAGGTGAAATTGAGAGGACAAAATGGAATATCTGTATCGGTTGGCAGATTTCTTTCTAGAATCTGATGAAAACAAGTCGGCACATTTTTACAGTATGTAAATTAGATTTAGACTGTGGATAAGTTGGCCCGAACATTTTTGCTGAAAATGTTTTTCCCCAAAAAACACTGGGTTGAATTCTCAGAAAGGCGATATTTTCTTGTCAAGGGGCAGGGGTAGTCCAGCATTATTGGCATTAATTATGGGACTAGTATATGCTTTGCAGGTGAGATTTATACTTGCCTTATTGGGAAAAGATCCTTACAAGTGAATGGAATCATCACATAGTCATTTGTTAAACCCCGGCTGCTGAAGGTCCTTTGCAACCCATTTGACGGGCGACGCACGACGGGCGACGCGCGACGGGCGACGGGCGACGGGCGACGGGCGACAGGCGACGGCAGATATGGAATTCCATAGTAGACCCATTGGCATTAAATGTTTTTCCATGAACGAAATAAGGAGGCGAGTGTTGCCAGACTGTGCTGCCCCTTGATCTGTTTCTCTTACACCGTCAATACTAAACATTCACTATACAGATACTGTTTATTTTTTTCCCCATTGAGATCACTAGGCAGAAATGGACCCGAACACGGTTGAAATCGGTTTTATTGTCGAACATTTAAGAAATTAAGAATATAAATAAAAAAATATCCATATATTCAACCCAGAAAATCGCCCTTGGAGTTTTGCACTCACGAAATTT